TTCCAGAGTCTAATACGGAATATTTGCACGCTTAAAATATAAGTCCTTCCAATTATGTATTTTCACTTATTAGGTTATTCAGCTGCCAGTCATGGTTCACTACACTCATGTTTCGGGGTACAGTTGTGTTCCATATCACACATGATATAACACTCCCGACAAGTTAATTTCCTTCAAACAGGGGCATTACAAGCATACAATAAACATTGGGACAGAGCACTTTGCTCTATTAAACTTGCATAACACACATATGGATATACGCTTTTAAATGTCTATATTCGATTTTCATACATTGTTTTACCCGTCTGGGATACAGGTATTAATAACCTTTACGACCAGTAAGGGTATCTAATCATACTACCAGGTACATACACCTGCTCATGTGGTATATACATACATTTTCTGTTTCCCCTGGGTATATCCTTAGCGTACTGGCAATTAGGGACTATAGGTTTCCAATAGATATTTTCCTTTCTTGGCATCTATGCCTGTCGTATAGTGGTCCCGCGAGGCCAACACCCCGCCTCAACGCTCGGAGGCAAACACCCATCGGGCCACTCGTGAGCTAGCCGCCTCGCATGGTATATAGAGAGGGCCTCACCTGTCACTCCCTTCCCCTTTTTTATGGTTACAGTCACCGAGAGGCCAACATCCTGCCACTACGTTTGGTGGCCACAAAAATCCCCTCGCGCCATTGCATAGATAGAGCCTCTCAAGCCACTTGGCAACTAGCAGGGCCTCACCTGTCACCAAACAAAGGATTAATTGTTTCGCCTTGTGGCTTTAGCTAGCAAGCCAGTACTAGCACACTGTGGGTTCATATAATAATGGCTATCTTCATATTTTTTAGTATGTATCAAGCAGGTGGTAAGGATTTCTCTCTACCTAACACTCCAGCTAGAGTCAACACACTTTCACTTGGAGATGTTGCTAGTCCCACAGGACAATTTTGTCCCAACACAGCGGACGATCACGTTTCAGGCTCCAGGCTCTAGCACCTCTGGTAGGACGTAGCGAACTACCCAAGATAAATTGGGTCGTCTCATTCTCTTTGGCAAATCCCAGATTTGCAACAATTTCCATGTTGGCACATGTAGTTTCAGTGCATGCAGACTGTTGCAGATATGTTCCCAATATGTCAGGGCACATGCAAAAACCATGTGTCCCAATAAATGTACCCTGAACCTTACTTCTCGTCTGTAAACATTATGCATTTCCAGTACTTTCTAACTTATCACCCTTCCAGACATTTAGTTTATTTCCTAATCTCCGATTTTAAAGGCCTTCTGTTCAGGTATTGCCATATACTTTTGGGGAAATCTAGAATACCCTAACTTGCAGTCATCACAGCAGCATCCAACAGCTGGCATTACACTCATGGCCCAAGAAATGGCAGAAATATTTCTACCTGGGCCTCTCCGATCTACACTATTTACAGTGTGGCGCAATCCCATTGTAACTGATCATAGACTTATCTGCACCTCACGCCTCGGCTACCCCATAATCTCAACTCCCTCATACTCTCCGAGGAGTTCATTACAGTATGCCACCATTGTTCATACCATGACAACTCACTCAAGCAGGGAGGTGAAGTCTGGTTAAGTAAAACTGATATCACAAACGCATTTCAGACTGCCACCATCCACCCTGCACTGGCACTTACAGGGCATTTATGGGCAGCAGTTATATATTTCTTCTCCCGCTTAACTTTCGGGTCAAGAGCAGCCCACAATCTTCAATATATTCGTTGAACTCTTTACTGGTTGTGGTTAAACATATCCAGATGCCCCACAGTCATACACTCCCGAGATGATTTCTTGTTGGTCAAAGGGAATGCCTTTCCCTCTAGAAGCTTCAAGGAAGCCATTAGTATGTCTGAACACTTGGGTGTCCCAGTATTCCCTAAGGTCACAGAAGACCCAGACACTGTCGTTACATTCCTGGGCATACAACTTGACTCGGCATCCATACCAACAAATTACCACGCGAGAAATAGGAACAGTCGCAACAACACCAATTACCACCTCCTGCTTGGTACTTGCAACCACATGGAACTACAATCCCTACCAGGTTCCTTAAATTTTGCCATGCACATCGTACCGCAGGCCACGCTTTCATCTCAGACCACTTTGCTTTTTCCTCCCTCCCGAATGATGATCAGGGGCTGTCCCTAGACAACCAAGCCATGGCAGACCTACACATATGGTGGACTTTCTTAACCACAAGTAATGGTAAATTATTGTGGCAGCTGCCGTGACAGCCGCCATGGCAGGAGGTCATTTATGGTCAAGGTCATGGATTACATGAACCTCGCCAACATAGCCGGGCTCTGACTAAACTGGCCTTGTCCACCAGCACTCAACACGCTTGCTACAGGGTTTTCCACTTATACAATACGTTTCATGTCGGACCATCACTTAGATAACTGGTTTGAGGTTTCACCACGTATGGCCTTCGCCTCTTTTTTGCCACCTTAAGTTAATAATTCTCGCACAACACGGTTAAACTTTATCTCACGGGCATTCAACCCTATACGTATTTCTCCATCCCAAACAACAAGGCTTCCTATCCTCCTACCCCATACATGCCTTACTTAGAGACATGGCCAAGCGGACGTTCCTGCTAAAACTAAATACTGGCCATAGACATACAATGTTCAAACCATGACAGAACCACTCGACCATGCACTTCCGAGCCACGCACCAATGCAGTTATCAAAACTGCTACCTATCTAGCCTTTAACGGCTTTCTCAGGCCAAAACAATAACTCACTATCAGCGGCCAACATCATAAACAAGAGTACCTGGTGACCTCTTATCCTCTAAAACACACAGACCACTATGTCCGGTCCCTTCCTAAAACTAAGATGAGTCAAAGGGGCGAGCCAGTGCATATAACCTACTACCTTACAAGCAATGCTGGGTGCCCGGTTAAGGTACTGATTACGTTCTTGGGCACGCCACCATACGCACCACTGAACCATTACTGTCGCTGTACGATACGGTCCTTACCACAGGTAAGTTCATGCACTATGTCCACCTACTCATTCATCGTGCTCGAACTAAACCCTAGCGACTACTCAGGGCACTCCTTTTGGATAGGAGCAGCTTACACAGCCCATAGCCAAGACATCCCCGCACACGTTAAGACACGGGGCCGCTGGGAATCATAGGCTTATGCGATGTACATACCACAGACGATTCAGGAATTAGGACGCTTTCATTAAAATGTCTAACTGATGGTTAACAAATGCACTATGATCCTGTATAATGTTTTGCATTAATATGTCTCTTTTTGCCCACTTTTAACCGGCTTACAGCATACGTCGGTTTCGGCACACCTCAACCGATTATTCCTAAAGCTACATCTCTACAACCCATCTTATTCTATATCATATGAGAATGCCCGAACACAAATTGGAAGGCATGGCCTGAAGTTGTGGGAGGGGCTATAGACCTATAAAAGGGACTCCCCCCTTTCCCTACTTACCTTTGTTGGTCAGATGAATAGCCCCACCCTCCACTCCCATTGTTCATATTTCCTCTATGTAAGCCCACTTTTTACCGGCCTAAAGCATACGTCGGTTTCGGCACACCTCAACCGATTATTCCTAAAGCTACATCTCTACAACCCATCTTATTCTATATCATATGAGAATGCCCCGAACACAAATATATATATATACATATTTATATATATATCTATATATGTCTATATATATATATATATATATATATTTTGATATATATATTTTGCTATATATATCTATATAGATATATTTCTATATATCTATATATTTCTATATATATTTGTGTATATATATATTTTGCAATATATATATATGTGTATATATATATATATATTTCAATATAACTATATATATCTATACATATTTATAAATATATATATATATATTTAAATATATTTATATATATATATATATTTATATATAAATAAATATATATATATATATATATATATATATATATATAAATAAATATATATATATATAAATAAATATATATATATAAATAAATATATATATATATGCAAATAAATATATATACAAATATATATATATATATATATATATATATATATATATATATATATATAAATATATATATATATATAAATATATATATATATATATATATATATATATATATATATATATATATATATATATAAATATATATAAATATATATATATAAATATATATATATATATATATATATATATAAATAAAATATATATATATATATATATATATAAATAAATATATATATATATATATATATATATATATATAAATAATTTAATGTATATTTAAATTAATATTTACTTTCTTTGCTGGTCTGCTTGACTGGCGCAGGGTAGTGAGAGTTGGTGTTCTATCAGATTCAGAAGGTATCTGAATCTGATAGAAAACCGGGGCTACAGGAATGGGAGGTGGGCTAAGGGAGGGCAGTGGGCGGTGAACTGAGATGTCACTCAGTTCGCCGCTCGTGAACGCGCACACCGCACACATGCGCGGTGTGCATAGAAATTCTTCCCATTGAGATTCATTGTAGTCAATGAATCTCTATGAGAAGATTTTCATTGGATGAGCGCCGCGCTGGACGCGCATGCGCTTTGCTGCCGCAATGATTTCCTATGAGAGGAAATTCATTGGCGGACAGCGGGGAAGACAGTCAGCAGACCCGATGACAGCGCGGGGGGTGTCGACGATCGGTGACGTAGCGCTGCAAAGAAGGTAAGTAAAGGGGTATTTAGAATAGAATTTAAAAGTTAAAAGTGGGGTTCAGAGGGGCACTGAGTAGTGAGGTATAGAATAGGGATGTTAAATCAGGTAGTTTAGTGGTGCCTAGAGTGGTCCTTTAAGGGTTTAGAAAAATATCCTTTTCTTTTACCTGAAGACAGCAAGGTGAATTGTTAGTGTAGGGCTCGTCTAAGAGGTTTAACCCTGACCTGGTAGGTGAGCTTACTCTTAAATGGCCTTTGAGTGATACTAAAAAATATTTATTTAAATATGCATAAGGATTTTGGATAGTGTGCAAGTAACTTTTTTTATTTGCTTTTTATTTTATATATTGGGGCTGATGTGTAATATAGTCATTGATGTGGCCCGGGAGTAGTGGGAGTTTTAGTGCAGGGCTTAATTGTGTAAGTTGAATATGCTAGGATTAGTTTATCTATTGATTTTATCTGTGTTTTTTTTTCAGGTTGGGACAGGTAAGTTATTTGTTAGTATTGGGTGCCCTCAAAATGCACAATAGTGCATTTTGGGTTTTGGGGATTTATTATTTAGAGCTCAAATACCACACTTACTGTATACTTACCTTGCTATCTCTATCCACCTTCCTATAGGCTGTCTATGAATAAACAGATTTGTTATTTTTCCTGCTGTCCTCCAGACTACATACTTGATAATACAAAAATATATGATTCTTTAGGTGACGATCTTTATTTGTGAGTTTTATTTATTATTAATTAACCTCAGAATGTGGATCATTTGATGTGGAAAATAAATGTAAGTTTTAATTTGAGGATGGTTTTTCTCTCTTTCTCTTTGACTCTTCTATTCTTCGTTGACATATATTCACCACTATACAAGGCTTTGGAAATTACACAAACAATTGCTTTCCTTGAAAAAAGGAAGAAAAAAAACCCAAAAAGGGATGTCTTATATAAAGACCGCCCAGAGGGTAAATACCCAGTCCAATCTCAACAGTAGTGTAGTTGCCAAAAAATAAAAAAGCCTTTATTGAAATCTATTAAAAACCTGGGTAATCAGTGATGGACAGAATAATATAGGGAGAAATATGTATGGTAGGAACAAGGCTAATCAAGAGCCAACCCTCACAAGAAACGGAGAGGGGATAGAAGGCAATATGTACCCCCATACATAACTCAGGTAACAAAGCAGTAGGAAAGAACAGGGAAAGGGAGAAACACACACTCCCAACCAAACAGTAGTGCTATGCTAATACCCTATCTCCTATAAAACACCTTCGTGGGTGTTCTAATCTAAATGCTGTCATAACATCTGAAGCCCCAGGTACACACACATACTAGAAAAACATAAATGAAAAGGTGCTCAGAGCAAAGTGCTCAAGAGAGTATTAAAAACACAGAAGAACCCGACGTACGTTTCGGCGTGACCACACGCCGTCCTCAGGGGTATCAGCAGTGAGCAAAAAACTGTCCGGGTGGTAAATTTATACCTTAAGCTCATAAGCTTTATTGTAATCACCTGTGATTGTGTCTAAATTGCTCCGGTCCTCCTGTGAATGGGGCTGTGGGGGTGTGGTGTAACACACCATAGTGTCAGCCCACATTTCTATGTCAGAGGTAGCCAGAACAGAAATCAGGTGAAAGGCAATTAACCCTTTGAGTGCCCCGCCCGGAACAGATATAAATGGATACTTACTATATCTAAAAGGCAGTATCCATAGCTTAACAGTTAACCCTTGGAATGTCCAAATTGTATCATATAGGTCAAGTGTGTGGATTGATTCTTATGGCTGTATTGTGTAGCTTTAGTACAATTAAAGAAACAACTTATAACCGTTGTGAACCAGTAAGGGATAAGTACAATGGCTATATGGGCAGTCATACACAGAAGCCGACAATTCTTTTATTGCCACTGTAAATAGTAACCCATTAGTTTATGCAACACAAAACAGACCCCTAAACTCTTAGACCTATAATACAGGTAAAATTAATGGACATATGAACACCAAATATAATAGAAATAAATAAAGAATATATACATATATACAGACATAACTTAAGATACCATTTATTATCAGAATTATTGCAGTACTTTAAATAAACGGGGAATATGAAAACCCTTCATTTAGCCCCAGGGGAGATAGCGTTTTGAGATGGTAAATCCAAAACGCCTCTCTTTGTCTTAGTTTTAGGTCCCAGTTTCCTTTCCTAGGAGGCTGTGGTACATGTTCAAGACCCATGAACCGGATGCCTGCCGAGGAGTGATTGTGATGTAGATGTAAATGCCTTGAGACGGGTGTTTCCAAACGTCTCTTGACAGAATTTACATGTTCACGTATCCTTAGCCTGAAGTGGCGAAAAGTCTTGCCTACATATTTTAGGCCACAGGAGCAAGACAGTAGGTAAACTACTCCTGTTGTGTTACAATTAAAGAAGGAACGTGGTTTGAAATTCATTAAGCCCTTGCTGTCAGAGGCCCTCTTGGTAATAAACGGGCATGCACTGCAGTGACCACATTGGAAAGAACCCATTGGTAGGTATTTTTGAAAATAACCTGACGGGGACGTAGTTGAGAGGTGACTAGGTGCTAGGATATCTCTCAAGTTTTTGCCCCTCCGTGCTGTAATTGAAGGGAGTGATGGCAGAATTTCCTTCAGATGCTTATCTGATTGGAGGATAGGCCAGAATTTTTGAAAGACATTCAGCATAGTGTCCCATCCTGCATCATATGTACCTATGCAGCGTATTTTATTTTCCTCAGTCTTACGACCCCCATCTGTAATTAGGGTTTCCCGTTCAGTGTGGATTGCCCTCAGATAGGCTCTTTTTAGAACCCTATTTGGGTAACCTTTGGCCTTAAACATGTGACGCAGCTCATTTGCTTTTAATTTGAACTCCTCCATCGTGGAGCAGTTTCGTCGAAGTCTCAAATATTGGCCTATTGGGATACCGGATTTGAGTGATATGGGGTGATGACTAGACCAGCATAGCAGGTTATTTGAGGCTGTCTTCTTTCTGTACAAGGTTGTTTCAATTTTGCCTTCTTTAGATACCTGTAGTGCTAGATCTAGAAAGCAAAGGTTTTGACCCCCTACTTCACTAGTGAATCGTAAGTTAAAATCGTTGCTGTTCAGCAGACATACAAATTCTTTGAATCTCTCTGATGTATCAAGCCAAATCAAAAACACATCATCGATGTATCTTTTCCAATAGAAGATCTGATTAGTGTATGATTTCAGCTTAGGATCTGCCCTAATACACCTTTCCCACCAGCCTAGATGGAGATTGGCATATGAGGGCGCACAAGACGTCCCCATAGCTGTACCAGTGGTCTGGTGGAAGATTTTGCCATTGAACAGAAAGATATTACGAGTCAAAATGAATTCAAGTAATTCCATTACAAAATTCACATAATGTTCAGGTAGGTCAGTTTCAAGATTTAATAGTTGACGGGTATGTTTAATACCTAGGTTATGAGGAATTGAGCTGTAAAGGGCCTCCACGTCAAGGCTACACAGGATAGCGTTTGGAGGTAAAGTAAGGTTGGTCAATAAATGCAACATTTGTTTAGTATCTCTAAGGAAAGATGGTAGCTTCTGTACTACTGGGGACAGAATCTTATCCACATAAATGCTTACATTCTGAGTTAGATTATCACAACCAGAAACTATCGGCCTACCGGTCGGATCGGTTAGTGATTTGTGCACTTTAGGCAAACAATAAAAAGTAGATAGACATGGTTGTTTGGTGCACATAAATTCAAACTCATCCTGATTAATGAGTTGATGATTCACAGCCTTAGTAAGCATAGTTTTTAACTCAGCTTGGAACGCTTTTGTAGGATCTTTTGCTAGTATGCGGTAAGTATTTTTATCGGATAAAAGTCTTTCAGCTATACGAATGTAGTGGTCTCTGTCAAGTATCACCACATTGCCCCCTTTATCAGAGGGTTTGAAAATCAAATTTGTATAGCTCTGTAGTTTTTTCAGGGCTATTAGTTCCTGAGTATTAAGGTTGCCATTAGGGGATAGATAAAAATCATCCATTTTTGTCTTATCTATTTCCCTAGTAACCATTTCCAAAAATACCTCCAAATTTTTATAATCCTGAAAATGAGGGGTAAACTTACTCTTGGGTTTCAAATTAGTATGTGGTATATCAGATTGTATAGTACCATCTCCAGAGTTAAGTAATTCCACCAGAGTGTCTAAGCACTCCAAGTCATTTGGTGATAGACCCAAGCTTTGGGCCTTAGTTTCTTTACGTATTTATGGTATTTATACAAGGCAAGCTTTCTCACAAAAAGGTTTACATCCTTAGTCCAGTTGAACTTGCTGAATGTTGGAATGGGTACGAATGAAAGACCCTTCTCCAATACGCTAAGTTCGGTCTGACCAAGGATGGTATCAGAGAGATTAATAATACGCACTGAGGATGCTATCATTCCCTGCGTCGTCTCTGACTTCTGCCCCTGTATCTGGTGTGCGGACCCTGAGTTAGATCCGCTTGTCTTAATCCTAAAAAATCCACAATCACTCCTCGGCAGGCATCCGGTTCATGGGTCTTGAACATGTACCACAGCCTCCTAGGAAAGGAAACTGGGACCTAAAACTAAGACAAAGAGAGGCGTTTTGGATTTACCATCTCAAAACGCTATCTCCCCTGGGGCTAAATGAAGGGTTTTCATATTCCCCGTTTATTTAAAGTACTGCAATAATTCTGATAATAAATGGTATCTTAAGTTATGTCTGTATATATGTATATATTCTTTATTTATTTCTATTATATTTGGTGTTCATATGTCCATTAATTTTACCTGTATTATAGGTCTAAGAGTTTAGGGGTCTGTTTTGTGTTGCATAAACTAATGGGTTACTATTTACAGTGGCAATAAAAGAATTGTCGGCTTCTGTGTATGACTGCCCATATAGCCATTGTACTTATCCCTTACTGGTTCACAACGGTTATAAGTTGTTTCTTTAATTGTACTAAAGCTACACAATACAGCCATAAGAATCAATCCACACACTTGACCTATATGATACAATTTGGACATTCCAAGGGTTAACTGTTAAGCTATGGATACTGCCTTTTAGATATAGTAAGTATCCATTTATATCTGTTCCGGGCGGGGCACTCAAAGGGTTAATTGCCTTTCACCTGATTTCTGTTCTGGCTACCTCTGACATAGAAATGTGGGCTGACACTATGGTGTGTTACACCACACCCCCACAGCCCCATTCACAGGAGGACCGGAGCAATTTAGACACAATCACAGGTGATTACAATAAAGCTTATGAGCTTAAGGTATAAATTTACCACCCGGACAGTTTTTTGCTCACTGCTGATACCCCTGAGGACGGCGTGTGGTCACGCCGAAACGTACGTCGGGTTCTTCTGTGTTTTTAATACTCTCTTGAGCACTTTGCTCTGAGCACCTTTTCATTTATGTTTTTCTAGTATGTGTGTGTAACCTGGGGCTTCAGATGTTATGACAGCATTTAGATTAGAACACCCACGAAGGTGTTTTATAGGAGATAGGGTATTAGCATAGCACTACTGTTTGGTTGGGAGTGTGTGTTTCTCCCTTTCCCTGTTCTTTCCTACTGCTTTGTTACCTGAGTTATGTATGGGGGTACATATTGCCTTCTATCCCCTCTCCGTTTCTTGTGAGGGTTGGCTCTTGATTAGCCTTGTTCCTACCATACATATTTCTCCCTATATTATTCTGTCCATCACTGATTACCCAGGTTTTTTAATAGATTTCAATAAAGGCTTTTTTATTTTTTGGCAACTACACTACTGTGGAGATTGGACTGGGTATTTACCCTCTGGGCGGTCTGTATATAAGACATCCCTTTTTGGTTTTTTTTTCTTCCTTTTTTCTACAATTTCCAGGGTTACCCCCTTTTACCAGTCCAGGTGACCTCTATACTCTGGAGGCTCGGCATTGGGATACGGGAGTGTTTTTTCCTCCCCTCCCACTTTCCAGCCTTTTGAGTTTCCTTTTTCTTGTTATTTAATTGCTTTCCTAGTTTGATATAACAGCAATAAGATTCACAATATGTAAGAAAATAGCCAGTGTACCTGTGCAAATGGGTCAATACCTCAAATATAGCTAAAGATAAATAGGACTTTAACAGCTTACTCCAGCCTCCATGACCACTACAGCTTTTAGAAATTGTCATGAAGGAAGGATTATGAATGTGCAGCGTTTCTGCTTAAAACACTGTACATTTAGAGACATTTGTACTTTTGTGCATGACACATGTGAACTCGGTTCTTTGCAAAAAATCATGTCAGTCACCAATGCTCACAATGCACGCTGGCGACCGATGTAATGAGTTTCTACAATCAGATGTTTGTATCTCCATTCATACTCTGCTTTTGTGTATTCCCTTCCAGTCCTTACCTCTCTACATTTAGCTTAATCAAAAGAATGTCCTAACCCCACCAACTCCCATCCTGGCTTAGAGTGTATGCATGTTCTTTGAGCCTGAAGTTCGTTCCAATGAAATACGTCTCTATGAGAAGAAACCCAGTGAACCACAGAAAGGAGTGACGTGACGTGACACAGAGAGCGGAGAGCAGCGCAGGGAGATTTGCCAGGTGCTGGAATCCAAGAGTTGGAGTAAGAGTATGTAGTGAGATTGCCTTATCAGTTACCTGTTATAGCTGCACATAATGCTATATGACCCAGCTTGGATACATGCATGAAACTGAGGTAGAAAGGTCATTCGCAAATCTCTTTCCAGCACCTGCACTATGAAAAAAGATACAGTCATTTACCTGATGCTGTTTTATAAATAACAATGCACTCTTAATATAGTTTTTGTAACTTTTGGTTTTACTTTTCTAAAATACAAATGCTATATCAAATATAGAAAATGTCTGTTGAGCGAAGCATTTATTTTTAATCTATCACAGAGATTTCATTAAATATTAAGATATTTAATTTCCCTCTCTAATTTTTTTGTAAATAGAATTTATTAGTTTCACTGACATAACTAAAAAGAAACTATACGTATATTTGTACTATAAGCACAGAATTGAACTAGAATTCTCATGGTCAAGCAAAGTACATCATAAGTCAGCAAATCTTTCTGTAAGTGAAAAATAACTAAGAATTCACCAGAATTTAGAAATATAGGATAAGAAGCGAGTAGATAATATTGACCCAGGTGTAAAAAATGGAATAGAAGTCATATAAAATGAGTATGTTTGAAATTATTCTTTAGCTGTTCATTTAAATTATTCTGGTTGGGATAATCAAATCCATATGCATTTCCTTTTTATATATTTCTAACAGTTCCTAGGCTAGTATTGTCTGCCCCTATTATGCACTATAGTCTTAGGACTTTTTAAATGTGTTTTTTTTTGTAGTCTCTCAATTTATGTTTATCTTTGATCATTTCAGCAATAACATTTACTTATTTTACATTTACTTTGAGAAGGACCTCTCTGTCACTTATGCCCCCTAGAGGCTTATTTGTCTAAATTTGTATTTATAGTTTTCATGGGTTACCCCCACCAGAGTTCTCCTAGGGAGCGGGGGAGGTTCAGTTCCTGGTCTGGGTGTAGTTTTTCATGAGGCTGAGCCTTCTGCCGCAATGTACAGGATCCAGGGGGTCCTGGTTAGGTGACATTTCTCCATGCGGCCCTGGAGGGCTGCTGTCATAGACTCCATGGCGTGTATTTCTCCCACTATATCTACCCATTGTTGGAATGTGGGGGTGGTCGACCTTTTCCACAGGGTGGGTATCAGTGATTTAGCTGCCGTCAGTAAATTTCTCGTGAGGGATTTCTTATAGGTTTTCAGTGGCGTGCTGGTGTGATGTAGTAGCATGGGGAGGGGCTGAAGTGGGAGCTCTGGGTCTGATATTTCCCGTATTTTGGTGTTAACCATCTCCCAGTAGGGAGTGATGGCTGGGCAGGTCCGCCAGATGTGGATCATAGTGCCTCTCTCTGATCCGCATCGCCAGCATGTCTCAACATTGTCTGGGTTCATTCGATGTAGAACATCTGGGGTTCTGTACCAGGTCATTAGTAACTTGTAGCTCATTTCCTGAAATTTTTAGCTGATATAGCTTTTGTTCGTGAGTAGGAATATCTTATCCCATTCTTGGGCATTGAGTAGCTCCCCCGTCTCTCTCTCTCCCATCTGGCGACGTATTTCGGTGGTGGCCTGTTCTCTCCCTCCAAAATCAGTGCCTATAATGTCAAGATCCCTCTCTCCATGTGTCGCCTATTGATGCATATTGTTTCAAAGTATGTGGGGTCTCAGTGAAATTGTTGTTTGGCCATTGTAGAAGGATTTGACCTGGAGGTATCGGAACCGGTCGATCATCGTTGAGGTATTATCTGGGATTAGTTCGGATAAGGTTTTTAGGGTGCAGTTATTGCACCATTGGCGTATATAGGACCAGTCTGTCCGTCCGAAATTTTTTAGGTCCGCCGGTGCTAGTTGAGGGTAACGGAGTGCACACCAAGCCTTCAGGGTTGCGTCAATCAGAGGCTTGCCAGTGCTGAGGGCGTTAGGTGTAATTCCCGTCCTCCATAGTTCCGAGGGTATTTTCCCCTCGGCCTGTGCTATTTCTGCTCACACCCACAGTTTCTCCATAGGGTGGAGTGCCAGTCAGTGACCCTCAGCAAATGGGTTGCTCGGTAGTAGCCAATGATCAAGGGGAGTCCTGCTCCCCCCCCCGCCGATTGGGTAGTTCCAGTGATCGGGATCGTCTGGAAGAGATACAGGATGCGTGGGAGAATATTCATTTTTATTGCGTTAATACGTCCGAACCACAAGATGTAGAGGTCTGTCCATTTTTTTATATCTGCCTGTAGGGAGGCGAGGATTGGGACAAAGTTTGCCTGGTAGAGGTGTGAAAGTTCTTTGGTCAGCCAAATGCCAAGGTATTTCAGTTTAGTGCCACACCAGCTGAATCTGAATTGGGAGCGTAATTGCTCCCCAAAATCAGCGGGAACCGAGATGTTTATGGCCTCCGACTTTTCGGTGTTAAGTTTTAGATTCGAGATCCTCCCGAATTGTTGGAATAGGCCTAGCATGTTCAGAATGGAGATCAGGGGTCGTTCCAGGAAGAACAGCAGGTCGTCGGCATATGCCGCCACCCAGTGCTCCGTGTTCCCTATTGTGTGACCCGCGATTCCCCCATCTGTCCTGACCCTCCAGGAACGGTTCCAAAGAGAGGGCAAACAACGTTAACTCATATTCGTGCTGTAGGTGACGTGTAGAGCGCAGCTTTCCAGGTTCGGATACTGTGTCCGAGTCCCATGTGTTGTAGAGTAGCGGCTAGGTATGACCAGTCCACTCGGACGAAGGACTTTTCAGCATCCGTGGAGAGGAGGACTAGACCCCTTCCTTGCCTTCGAGCCGAGTGGATGATGTTGACGGCCCGTATGGCATTTGTGGCAAAACCAACCTCGCCACTGGGCATTGGAGAAGCCTGTTTGCCCGCCTCCTGCCTGCTGACTACAGCCCCTGGGAGATTTGGCCATTTTAATACAATATTTGGGCATATTGTATTTTATTATGCTGCTGGCCCTTTAAGAACCATCTGGGGACATACTGTGACTTTTGGGAACAATGCCCCTTTAAGACTATGGCCCTTGGAAGATATAACCTGTTAAAGACTATTTTAGCAGATTGGATTTTAAAAGACTTACTGCCCCTTTAAATTGTATTGGAGCAGTTCTGCAGCTTTAAATTGGCACTTCGGATGCAGCTGAAGTGCCTAAGTAGTCGAAGTGGCCGCCATTTGAAAAAACGAACACGTGGCGGCGGCCATCTTTAATTCAGCGGAAGTTTTACCTTCTCCAGACTTCAATGCATTCGACAGTTCGAACGCCATTCGACAGTTCATTCGACAGTTCAACAATTCGAATGGTTGTCGTTCATCTGTTTGAACTGACTTTAACATGGGAAATAGACCGACTGCACAGCCTGATTCTCTGGAACTGTTTTGGGCATGAAAATGTGCTTGCGGTCGGTCAAACTTGACTTATATCTATCTCCCGAACGGCTGAACTTCAAATGATTTTTGGGTATGTTTATATTTAAAATGTGCTGATTAATAATAAGTAATTTTTATGAAGATTGGATGTATATTTGTAAAGTTATAGTACATATATAAAAACTGTATTTTTCCTGCTTGTGATAATTATGTTAACCATTGTGTACCATAATTATATCACAGGCAGAGGGGAGGATTTTGTGTATAATTGCTGGGAGTGTTTTCTGTAATGTACGTGTGTTATTGGTTGTTCTGTAAAACCCTGTGGGCAGTACTAAGTTTGTGGATTGGGAATAAAAGAGGCTGTATGTGCTAGTACAGTCAGTTCTACTTCACCCTCAATTTGGAGTGCCGTCTCTTATTGGGGGAATCTGCTACAAGGGATTGCTATGCTCTGCATACTCCCTTGCTATATTCACTGCTAAGCTTTTGTAAGAGCTTGTTCCTGCCTTGCTCGCTGGAGGAGTCTACGGTGGTTGTGGTGTCTGCTGCAGTGCTTGGTGTCCTCAGGAAGCACTAGGAGCATCCTTCAACGGAGGTACCCAGTCGGGGTGCCAGGTTATCCGTTACAGTGTTATCCCGGGATTCTCTGCCCGGAATGAAGCCTACCTGGTCTGGATGGACCAGTGAGGACAGCACCCTGGCGAGGCGGGGGGCCATGGCCTTCGCAAATAATTTTAGTTCTGCGTTTAAGAGGGAAATGGGGCGATAACTTGCGCAGCAAGCTGGGTCTTTCCCCTCTTTCGGCAGAACTGTTACTACAGCCCTTCTAGTATCGAATTCAGGCCTGTCAACAGGTGTGGCAGCAAGATGTCCCTATATGTTCGGAGGTAGCTTGCGGGGAGTCCATTTGGACCCGGTGCCTTATTTGATTTGGTTAGCTTAAGCGCTTAGGGGTAAGTTTCCGGGCTACATGCTTGGTGAGAAAGTCTGTCAGCTCACGTCTATGTTGTGTTGGGGTGAGTGGGCTTCGCCTATCGGCCAGATTGTATAAACTAGTATAATATTCCCTGAATGCCTGCATAATCTCTGCTGGTAGTCTCGTTTCCTTTCGGCCTTGGGCTTTTATTTTGTGAATGTGGTTTTGCCTCCATCTCTGCTGCAGAGTCCGGGCTAACAGTCTACCACATTTATTTGAGTGCTCATAAAAATAGCGGTTGGACCTGCGGACCACGTTGAGTAACTTCTGACAGAGTATGTCCCTAAGCTGTCTCCTCTTGTCGGTCAGATGGAGGTATACGTCTTCTGTCAATTCTCTTTTACGTGTGGTTTCGAGTTCGGATATCTGTTTGGTCAATTCCATGATGTGTCTAGTGTTCTCACATTTGCGTTGCGTGCAAAGATTTATGTAGTGTCCCCTAACGACACATTTATGTAACTTCTGGGGCGGTGTTGGGCCGGTGTTGGTTACGAAGTATTGGGTAAGTACTTGCGTGGTCAGTGTCAAGCATTCTGTATCTGATAGTACGGTTTAGTTTAGTCGCCAATGGCGTTCCTTCGGATTGAAGAGGGGTGATTTAATCTGGATGGACACGGGGGAGTGGTTAGAGTCTCCTTGAATCCCTGTGTCTGCGGAAATGAGCAGGGGAAGGAATTCCTGTGCGATAAAGATGTCATCTATCCTGCTGTATTGGTTGTGCGGGGCAGAGTAGCAGATATAGTCTCTGCTCTCAGGGTGCGCCGCCCGCCAGCAGTCAGACAGGCCGAGTCTATTGAGTGTTTGTTTGGTCCTGCATATGCAGTGGTCTGGTATGGTGCGGTTACCCCTGGATGTGTCCACTCAGGGGTCCAGGGGAGTGTTGAAGTCACCCGCTAATATCAGTAAGCCTTCCCTGAACTTTTCTAAGCATTGCCATCACCCGAGCCAGGAATCTGTGTTGGCCTCGATTGGGGCAATACACGTTGGCTAGGGTATACGGGCGCTCTGCTGTGGTTCCTTTTATGAAGAGGTATCTTCCCAGTGGGTCCACCTGTGTGGCGGTGCATTGAAAAGGCACCGTCCCCGCAAAAAGGATCGCCACTCCTGATCTTTTGGCGTCCTGGTGGTTCGCGAAAAAAAGCCCAGGGGAAATCTTATTTTGTAGCATGGGAGTGCACCCATCTTAAAAGTGGGTCTCCTGCAGAAATACAACGGATACCCTCTGGGACCACAGCATCCGCAGGAGTTGTGTGCGCTTCTCTGGGACGTTTAGGCCTCTCGTGTTATTGGACCAGAGCCTGAGCGGTGCAGGTTGGAATTTCTGTGACATCTCGACAGTGTGTGTGAGGAGGAAGGGGGGGAGGGATCGGGGTGGAGAGGAAGGGAGAAGGGTGGGGATGGGATGAGAGAGTTAGATATAGTAGACAAGGGGAAAGGGGTATGGTATGTGTCAGGTGGGACAAGTCTGTCGGTGGCAGTCGGTGTGGGGAGGGGTGGATTGGTATAGTCACGGGTGGTCAGACAACAATGACCCAAGATTGGTCTTTTGCTCCAGGGTATGTCCGGTCCGTCTATGGTCGGTAGGATCCCTGGGCCCGATCGAATTTACAGGCCGAGTCAGTTGTGTGGGGTCGTAGTGACCAGGTAAAGTTGAATTCTGATGGGGCAGTTGAGGCTACTGCCTGTACCCGGCTCAACTGTGTTGCTCAGGTTTCCTGAGCCTAGAGGGGTATTTACTCAATAAAGCATCACAGCTATGACCTGCATACCTTTTGTGTACAGTGCAGGTAATTAAGCAAAAATCAAATAACTTGAACATTATAGCATAACAAAACAGAACTGAGTATATAATTTAACAGCTGGAAACAGGCCAATCCCGCCCCGAGGTCCCGCTACAGGCCTCACCTGCGTCTAGGGTCCCTCCTGCGGAGGTCAGCCCCTCCCCGGCTTCCTGGCCCCCCAGGTTTTCGTGGCCGCTGTTAGTATTGTTGTGGGGGACCCCAGGGTGTCATGTTTAGCCAATATTGCATGTTGGTCGGAGCCGTGGGGAGACGAGTGCATCCCGGTGTCACCACCTGGTGTCCGGGGCGCATCTCTGTGGTACCCCCCTGGGTTCCCCCACTCTCTTCTGGGTCTGCATCTTAGACCTTTCTTGCCCTGTTAGCGCTTCCATCCTTTGTTCCTTCTAGTTCCTTATCCCAGGGGCCCCCTGTATGTGTGAGGTCTAAGTGTCTGAGGGTCAAGGTGCCTATCTTTAATGGCTATGTGGGGCCCACAGGTCCCAGGTATCTCCCTCCTGCCCTCTTCAAATTATTCATTCCCCTAGTCCAGATGGGTGTCTAAGCCCGCTCCCCTCCATCCCTCCCCATCACACCCCAAGCCCGCAGGTCCCCACAGCTTTCGGTCTGTCCTTATTGGGTAACTGGGGTCTATCTGACCAATGCCAATTAGGGGTACCTTCAACAGCCTCACGTGGAGGTACAGTTGCAAGAAAAAGTATGTGAACCCTTTGGAATGCTATGGATTTCTGCACAAATTGGTCATAAAATGTGATCTGATCATCATCTAAGTCACAACAATAGACAATCACAGTCTGCTTAAACTAATAACACACAAAGAATGAAATGTTGCCATGTTTTTATTGAACACACCATGTAAACATTCACAGTGCAGGTGGAAAAAGTATGTGAACCCTTGAATTTAATAACTGGTTGAACCTCCTTTGGCAGCAATAACTTCAACCAAACGTTTCCTGTATTTGCAGATCAGACGTGCACAACGGTCAGGAGTAATTCTTGACCATTCCTCTTTACAAAACTGTTTCAGTTCAGCTATATTCTTGGGATGTCTGGTGTAAATGGCTTTCTTGAGGTCATGCCACAGCATCTCAATCGGGTTGAGGTCAGGACTCCGACTGGGCCACTTCAGAAGGCGTATTTTCTTCTGTTTAAGCCATTCTGTTGTTGATTTACTTCTATGCTTTGGGTCATTGTCCTGTTGCAACACCCATCTTCTGTTGAGCTTAAGCTGGTAGACAGATGGCCTTAAGTTCTCCTGCAAAATGTCTTGATACACTTGGGAATTCATTTTTCCTTTGATGATAGCAATCTGTCCAGGCCCTGATGCAGCAAAGCAGCCCCAAACCATGATGCCCCCACCACCATACTTCACAGTTGGGATGAGGTTTTGATGTTGGTGTGCTGTGCCTTTTTTCGCCACGCATAGTGTGTGTTTCTTCCAAACAACTCCACTTTGGTTTCATCTATCCACACAATATTTTGCCAGTACTGCTGTGGAACATCCAGGTGCTCTTGTGCAAACTAAACGTGCAGCAATGTTTTGTTTGGACAGCAGTGGCTTCCTCTGTGGTATCCTCCCATGAAATCCATTCTTGTTTAGTGTTTTACGTATTATAGATTCGCTAACAGGGATGTTAGCATTTGCCAGTGACTTTTGTCAGTCTTTAGCTGACATTCTAGGATTCTTTTTCACCTCATTGAGCAGTCTGCGCTGTGCTCTTGCAGTCATCTTTACAGGACAGCCACTACTAGGGAGAGTAGCAGCAGTGCTGAACTTTCTCCATTTATAGACCATTTGTCTTACCACGGACTGATGAACAGCAAGGCTTTTGGAGATACTTTTATAACCCTTTCCAGCTTTATGCAAGTCAACAATTCTTAATCGTAGGTCTTCTGAGAGCTCTTTTGTGCGAGGCATCATTCACATCAGGCAATGCTTCTTGTGAAAAGCAAACCCAGAACTGGTGTGTGTTTTTTATAGGGCAGGGCAGCTGTAACCAACACCTCCAATCTCATCTCATTGATTGGACTCCAGTTGGCTGACATCTCACTCCAATTAGCTCTTGGAGATGTCATTAGTCTAGGGGTTCACATACTTTTTCCACCTGCACTGTGAATGTTTACATGGTGTGTTCAATAAAAACATGGCAACATTTCATTCTTTGTGTGTTATTAGTTTAAGCAGACTGTGATTGTCTATTGTTGTGACTTAGATGATGATCAGATCACATTTCATGACCAATTTGTGCAGAAATCCATATCATTCCAAAGGGTTCACATACTTTTTCTTGCAACTGTATATGAGAGTCCAGGTAGTCTGCTTATGGCCCGCATGCGCACCTCTGACGAAGTGTCCATGGCCGCAGTTTGTGCCTACTTGCTTTTGCAGGAGTGGGTGGGTCTCGTACCTGTGGTCCCCCACCCAAGCAAGCTTTTCCCGCCTGCTGTTGCTCTCTGTATGGCGAAGTGTCATGGGTTTTATCCGTAGGCCTGGGCTAGAGTTCTGAGGCATTCGAGTCCTGGTGTAGGCAGGGGTCCCCTGAGGGGGAGGGGTGGGAACCAGCATGTGTAACCTTAACTGTGTGGCTGGGTGTTAGTGCTGTGAGGGGGAGTACATACCACCAAAAGGTGAATCGGCTTCAGAATCCAGGGCGTCTGTACCGGGCGGATCCGGAAAGGGGGCCCCCAGCCCGCAGGGAGCGGAAAGTTCTCAGGGCGTGCGTGACCTGTGTGATTCCGGGTTTTATTCTTCGGGACCATCTGGTCCCCCTCTCCTCAGGGGCCTTTCCCTCCGGTTGCCAGGTGGGACCGGCCCGGTGGGGCCTGCAGGATGCTGTGTTGGGCCCATCAAGATCCAATTAGGTATTGCCACAGCAGGCAGATCCAGGGCCCTCAGGAACCCGGGGACATCGTTCAGCCATCTCAGTGTGCACCATTCGTTGTCCTTTCGGGCCTGCAGACTAAAAAGGTGTTCCCATCTGTATGGAATCCTCCTGTCTTGCAGTATTCGAGTGAGTGGTCGTAGTTCTCAGCGTGCTTCCAATGTCAGGGGCGAAAGATCTTGAAACAGGGACACCTGGGCGTCCATATATGTGATGGTTTGTGGTCTAGCCACCTTCATAATAGCCTCTTTTAATTGAAAAGATAGTAGGCAGCAGACAATATCCCTGGGCAGTCCTTCGTTCCTAGGGGGTCGGAGCGCTCTATGGGCTCTCTCAATATTGTAAGTGTCTGGGGCTTCTTCTCCCAGTACTTGCGTGAAGAGTTACGGCAAGATGGCGCTGAGGTCTTCCCCTGCCTGTTCTGGCAGGCCTCTCACGCGAATATTATTGCGGCGGCTGCGGTTGTCCAGGTCTTCGACCTGCCTCCTTAAATCTAGGAGAACAGTGCCTTGCCTTGAAGTAGCGCTGTCAGTGGCTTGGGAGTGTTGAAAGGCCGGCATGCAGTCGGCTTCCAGCTCAGTGACCCGCTGCTCCAGGGCGGTTAAGTCTCTTCTCATCTCCTGAATCTCTTCTCTGATGGTAGAGCGCATTTCCTGCACCAGGGCTGACTTGTCTGCCTTTGTCAACAAGTTAGAGGCAATAGCTGTTAGCTCTGCAGAGATCTGTGTCAGGGTGTCTGCTTGTGTGGAGCCAGCTACAGATTCAGCCATGCTGCTTGCACCCGGTGAGTCCAGCGCCATTTTGTCCGACAGCCACGTGGGTCTGAAGCCGTCGGGTGTGGACAGATACTCGTCCATTGGGCCCGCCAGCTGTTTCGGTGATGTCGTCCCCGAGGGACCGGGGGTCGTCTGGCGTCTAGATTTCCCCGTAGTGGCTTCAGGTAGGCTAGTTATTAAGGGATTTTGAGCTGGGGACCGCAGAGCCTCGCAAACGTGCGACTTACTCCATCTCCGGTCGGCCACGCCCCCATATGACTTTATTAATTCCTTTTGTTGGGCTTTCCTCCCTCTAACTGTGTTGTCAAAATGAGCATTCTAGAAGCAGGTGGTAATATTACCATAGCATATTATCATACATACATTCTCACACAGAGTTAAATATAATTGTCAGTCATGTGATCTCTGATATCAAATGAGATCAACAGAGAGAATGTACACATCATATAAATGTTTCAACTGGACAAAGAGGGACTTTTTAATGCTAGGTTTATGAGGGGGGTACGTGTAAAGGGGTGCAGTTTCAATGCGATCTTCAGTAGATACGCCTCTGATTCAGCCGCATTAAATAGTGAACTTATTACAGCAAAACAATTAGGATTTAAAAAAAAAAAAAAAAAAAATTTTTTTAATCGGAATTGTTTTTTTAATCCAATTAGGATTAAAAAAATAATAACACACAAATATACATTCCACAGGACAGAGGAGAACAAAATGGAGGAGCCAACATATCCAACACATGTATTAGTTAGAGCTAACTGAATAAACTAACTCAATTGATGTTATTTAATTATTTCAAAAGAGCAACGATCAAAGAATCAGGAAAGCATCTTAAAAACTAAAATAAAATAACTTTACCTGGGCATCAAAGCTGAACCTAGAAACTGGGATATTTTCCGGGCCTCCATGGGCATCAAAATGTTTGCATCCTGCATTGGCTTTCACATATCGAGGATGGTCTCCTTGCAGTCCCTTTACAAAAGCTGCAGCTAGCACCCCACTTAAATAGGGGTCCTCACCATAAGTCTCCTGGAGAAGAAATAGCAAATATATTATAATATTTATTTAATAGAATAGAAAAGTAAGATTTCACATTATGCAATTTATTTGCTACAATGCTTGGTGAATGAATATCCAAAACATTTCCCCAATAAGTCCAGGCACTCGTTCTTTTGGTAAAGATAGTAGAGGAGGTGATCAGCGCTAAAGATTATATATACATATGATGCAGATGTTGTTCCTAGTATATAAATCTATACGTACAAAGCAAGAAAGATTATGGTGCAGTACAGTTTATGTAATTGAAGGGAGTACAAATGGACAAAAGTGCACACACACTTTTTAGAGCCGTCTCAGCTCTATTATGACGGAATAATCTGCTTCTCTGGACATAAGTCTTTAGACCTCGTTTTCAAGATGAGGTAGGTATATGTGAAGAAAGCAAAATAGAAAATCCAATGGTATAGTATATACAAACAATTGGTATTGATGGAGGGAAATATCCTACTTACGTCACCGAGAGCAGTGTCCTGCTCTGGTATGAAGAACTCGAGGTGGAACAATCCCCACCTAGGGATATATACAGGAACCCAAAGGGTTATGAGGGCTGTATGAAGGATGTACTCCACAGGTGGTGATGTATAAAATAGTAGGTTTAATAAGTAAAAAGCTGGAAACAACAGTTATATAAATAAAAAAAACAAATATCAAACAAACTGTGGGTAAAATAAGTCCTCACTTAACGCGTTTCGCCAAAGGCTTTTTCAAAAGTGGATTTACTAAGCGCTGATCACCTCCTTTCTGTTATCTTTACTATCCACTTCACAAGGGTGGAGAGAATCCCTTGTTGGTGATTTGCTGCTAATTATAGATATTGAGCACTTATACTCACCAGTTTTTCCCATACTCGTTCTTTTGGTGTATAGATGTCAAACGTAACATCAAGAATCATACAGACAATATTTTGTCCTTTGTCAAGTTTTAAAAAGCCCTATAGTGTTCCTACTAGAGTCTGCTGAACACCACAAGATAATTTGCCCCAACGTATTGCGGAAACATTTGCTACATAGGAGATTTGCAGCCTCCAGTCATGGTAGCCACGACGGTGGTTTCCTTGTGTTTAAGGTGCAGTCCCCACTATCTTGGATAAGTGGCTCTAGAGGTTGTCACACAATTCCCCTTCCCCTACCTCTTTTTTATCATTATTGTGCAAAAAGAAGTAAAGGATGGATTTCCTTTAAAACATTCAACTCCTCATCTATACTTATCTTCATTTAGAAATAAGATTTAAGTTTGGCTTAATTGAGACAAGATAATTATTACAATCCACGAATTGAACAATGGCAGAAATGGATTGCAAAATTAGGAAGAAGTAATGTGACTTAATATATACCAAGGTTCATACGTCTTGGAATTGTAGATAGGGTAGTGGATCCTGTGCATAAATTTCTAAATTAGCCATAGGTTTACGGAGCCTGATTGGTAGAAAAAATTATTTGTCAAAGATTATGGTTTTAGGTTCCTAGGAGCAATATGCGACTAACTCTCAGCAAAGGGCAGCTTTTTTTTTTTTGTTAATATAATATATAAGGGGAGAAGGTAAAGGAAGGAAGGAGGGAAGAGGTGAAGAAAGAGAAGGGGAAGGAGTAAGAAAAGAGACAGAACAAAAGGTGGATAAAGCCTTTCTGGATTTATTGTAAATCTCTTTCTGCATTGAAGGTGACTGAATTGTAATGTTTTTATACATATTTTTTTTTGCTATTTCTTTTTTTGATGTTTATTGTCCAATGTCTGATTGTTTATTGTTGTAACAATGTTTGTAAATCTCTTTTTGTTTGTAAAAAAAAAAAAAGAGAAAAGGAAATATTATAAAAGAAAAAAGAAAGGGAATGAAAGAAAGAAAAACTTTTTTCAATAAAGATAAAAAAAAAAAAAAAAAAAGATTTAAGTTTGGCTTAATGTCAGTACATGTGAAACTACAAGTGAATTGCTATGGAATATTTAACAGGCTAAAGAATGGTTCTCTTTTAGAAAAGTTAACACATGTGGTAGTGGAAACTCACCTGGTTACGTCCCCAAAGAGGATGCCGCATAATATTTATGACTGGACTGAAGCAACTTAGCCCTGTATGGTCATCATAGTTCCCAATAGACATGAAGTAATTATGTTTGGCTCTTACTTCAGTGGCAGTGGCATTAGCCACTTTGGCAACCAGTTCAGAACTAAAGACAAAACGCAGTGTTAGAGTAATGTTTACAATGACACTCCAGGTTACATAAACTCCATTTAAAATATGCAATAATTTGAAGATATGTACCTTTACATTTCCTGCACTTGCTGGAAATGTTTATTTTGGTGAACTCTACCCAGACCAGGAAGTTTTTTAGCCAATCAGGAGGCTCTTATTTTATTCCGTGTAGCTTGACCTTACACTCTAAGTGTTTATGAGAGGTGTAGTTAATCACTTGGTAGCAATTCCATGGACTACATAAAATAATTGGTATTGCTGCCTGAGCTGATATCAGCTGCATTATTAGCAATCGCACTCATGCTTTCTCACACTATACAAAAGCACTGACATGCTGCACTTATGCTCTCATGCTATATAAATGCACAGACACATTGCACACATGCTTTCTGCACTCTACTTGAATCTTCACAACAAAAACATACACCTACATATTAAACATGCACATTCTCACACTATGTCCATCCTTGCAGTCTCATGTTACACATATGCACTACAGCAATACATTTGTGAGTTTCTCATACCACATACATACTAGACATGTGCAATTCGTTTAATTCCGAATGTCAATTCGGACGAATTTCGGACATTCTCTGATTGCTTTCAATCAACCAGAGTATTATGAGTCAAATTACACAGCGTGGGAAAATTCTAAAGAACTTTCCCACACTGTAAAATTACACAGAGCACTCTGATTGGTTTGATTTCAAGCTAACCAGAGTGCTGTGACAGGTAAATGTAGAGACTTACCTGTCAGTCTCTTCATTTACCTGCCAGAGCACTCTGATTGGATGGCTTAAACCAACCACAGTACTCTGAGCCTAATTGCAGGGCGGACAAGGCTTTATAAGCCTTCCCCCGCCCTGCGGAGCTCAGTCTGTGCGGTGCCCTCCATGGGTGAAGGTGGATTATTTTAGGTCCCCCCCTTTTTTGGTATTTAGGGCCTCCACCCACCACTCAGTGTTGGGGGCCAGGGGACAATAGGTGTCCCCCCCTTTACTGGTATTTAGGGCCCCCACCCACCGCTCAGTGGTGGGGGCCAGGGGGGAGGACAATAGGTCCCCCCTTATTCTAATTTAGGGCCCCCACATGCCGCTGCATCATGACTATCTGTTTAAAAGCCCCCACTCGCACGGCACGAGAATTTAATAATACTAAGTAATCTTTACTTAGTATTAGTAAATTTGACTGAAAGACCAATTTAGTTCTTTCAGCCGTTTGGTAGATAGCTCCGTGGGAATTAGGGAGTTATCTACTAAGCGGTTGCAAGAGAACATCTGAAGTTGCCGAAGTCCCGAATTTCAGAATGCCGAACCGAACATTACATCAGTCCATATCCAGTCCAGTCTCATATTACATACATGCACGGATTAATTTTATTAATGCATTCTCACAATACATTTGCGCTCTCGATAAATGCTTGTCACAGTACATACATGCACCAATTGGGTACATTAATGGGATACTTTAAGAACCATAGCCACCACAGCAGACGTTATTGGACACTCTTCAGTCAATGAAATGTGTCCACAGTTGGCCAAAATATTTAGTGCTAATGCAGAAGGGTAACGTCTTCTTTACAAATATATGTGTGAAGATGGTCTGGACCACAGGCACCCAGGAGAACCAGGTAAGTATAAAAAGCAGTTAAGGAAAGTACATCTCTTAACAATGATGCTGTGTTCCAGGACTCCTGGCACCATAAACAATTCATAAGCCAGTTTTCAATGGATTCTCTATTTTGGCCCAAACTCTTTTGGATTTAGGGGCAGCCAAAACTTCTCTTCTATCATATAACCCATTAATGCATTAACCAAGAAAGGTGCTGACACTAATAATTGGAATGCATCTGCTCTTCCGGATTGAAAAACTCCTAAAAAACCTTCATGTCAGTTATTCTGATTTATCCTGAACCCAATAAGCCGTTCATATTGGAAGTAGCGGCATCAAAGACTGGAGTTGGGACTGTCCTGTCACAAAGAGCCTGCACAGAAGCCCCACTCCATCCCTGCTGTTTCAATTCTAAGAAACTTCCTAGTTCACAGATGAACTATGACATTGTAAGGACAGAGCTATCAGCTACAGTTCCATTTCGGAAGGAGTGGAGATACTGGCACTAGGGTTTAGCCACCCCTTCATTTATTTTAACAAATCTTGTTTATCAGTCAAGTAAAAAGACTGTACTGTGCCAATGAGGTCCATGCCTCCCTCCTGATAATGCTTTGGTTGTTTGAGGGGGTAATGTAATAAAAACAGCCTGTAATAAAGCTCCTGCTTTAATTGGGTCACAGATCAGGGCTGTGTGTCTGCACGTTGTAGTGGAATCCTGACAAAGACTTTCCTCCGCTGGATCACCAATAGTAGAACTCAGGAACAAGATACTGTCAAGGGAATAGCCAACCTCCTTCCCATTAACTTGACGACACACAGTTCTGGGTGTACAACTGAACTTTATTCTGCCACACACGGATTTTATGCACTTGCCCCTAGCATGGGGTCTACACATCAAGAACACATGGGTTTTTAAACTAAATATTATATATGTAGATGGTCAGGTGGTAACTGCTGCATTTGAGGCCTGGGTAGGTTGCCTCAGGACGAACTCAGTCGCTGTCTCCGGGTTCCATCTCTGTGGAGGGTGTGTCATTATGCCATTGTGCTACCAGAGATATTAATGTAGAAAGTCAGAGACATTGTTTCAAAGTTGTATGGTGTAAGTCCATTCAGAGCAGCCATCATCACAACCTTGTCCCTGCTGTTTTGAAAGCCGACCACAAGGTCTCACGGTACCGCAGCCGGAGTTCTAGGCCATCATAAGGCATCACAATAAGAGCGGTATTTCTGCTGCAGGAATGTCCTCTGGGATACCTCTTATTTTCAGGTTGTTTCTGCGTCGTATATCTTCAAGAATTGCAAAGTGCCAGTCAAAACAGTCATGTTGTTGTTGCAGTTTTTATACTGCCTGCTGCATCATGACTATCTGTTAAGTACTGGTACTAGCAGTGGTCTCAACATCCCCAAACCGGACTTTTAGGCCTTGTAGATCCGCTTGGATATCTGTAAGCATGTTCCTCTGGAGGTCGGCCAGTAATTCCTTTAGAACTGTGGTTACCGGAGATGTGTCTGGATTTGTTTGAGCCACAGGAGATGGATGCGTGGTGAGTATTTCCTCCATCTCTCCCTCAAGGGATAGGTCATCCGAGAGTATGGAGTTGGTGTCAGGGTAAGCGGCCATCTTGGGCCCAGCTGCACCATGTGCCTGTCTCAGCATATCACCAATGTTTTAATGAATCCGTGGCTTTTCTGCTTTTTGTTGTTTAGTTTTGCGACCCATGCTAGCTTTACAGCCACAGGGGTGGTTGTCTTGTGTCACAAATCAGGGGGTTCCCATTGATAAAGTGGGTTTTTGATGCTTGGTATTGCGGAGCTCGCAGTAGATGCAACCGGAAGCTCGGCTCCGCCCCCTTAAAACGTGTTTTTATGTGCGTGCTATTTCCTAATTGGTATATTGTGTACATTTTGGCCTCTACGGCAGCACTACTGCAAAGAAATTCATGTTCTGGTTGTGCCCCCAATCTGCTTTTTATCTTTACTATGTATAGTTTGGAGTCCAGACCAGATTCCTTTTGGGTTGAGCAACCTGCCCCACGCCCCCATTTTCAGAGGTGACCACAGAAAAGTATACATTTGAGTAGGTTTTGTATAGTAATGTCACTGTAATTATCATTTTTCATAGAGCAGATATAGGATATGCATTGTGAGTATATACACATCAAAGCGCTAAGGCTTTAATTTTTTTGTCATTGAATTTGTTGTATTGTGTTTAACACATTACTTTTGATTATATATATATATATATATAAAAATAAATAAAAGAAATAGGACTCCCTTTGCTGCTAGATATATCAATGTTCTTGCCTGGGTGCAAACCTCAGCGTCAAAATAGATACCAAAAATAATACATATAAGGTGCACTCACAGGTCTTTAACAAGTGATTAATTTATTCTGAAGTGCAAATTACATATGCCAAAGATATAGTGATCGACGATTCTACCCCTAAAGGGCCTTTTTCAAGATCTTGAAAAAGGCCCTTTAGGGGTCGAAACGTCGATCACTATATCTTTGAATATATATATTCATTCATAGATTAAATACAATGTAGCTCATTTAGCACTAGAACGAATTTGTTTCCTGCATTAGAAATAATGTAGGACTCACCGACATTGGGGTACTGGTGGGCTTAAAACAATATGGCCATTTGGTGGAAATCAATCCTCATATTTGTTTGCTGAGAAAAGTGATTTAAGTAGCCAACTGTTTGTCCTGCCAACTGTAAGAAGTGATATTTCGTTGACCAAAGGGAGAGAAGAAATACTGAGAAATTAGTCATTTTAGATAATGTTCCGAGTACCTGAAGGATGCCGCCAATCCCAGTGCCTGTGGATATGAAGTAGCCCAGCCTGGTGCTTGAACATCTCCTCTTAGACATTCAGTGTTCCAGGAATAAGGCTTTATACCTAGGCGTGGAATTGCAGGGGCTGGGCCATTCTTTCCTGCACCACCTCTTGCCAGCTGTAGGGAAAGAATAAACTAATGAAACAAAGTCTACCCCGATAATGTTCCTTCATAATAATTATACACAAACTCAATGTAACGCTCAGGAAAATGATCCACATTTAAACCCACTGCAGATATTTCTATTAGGCTTCTGGATAAGGAAACAGAAGTCAAGAAATAACCAACAACTAGTGAAAGCAAAAGCTTTACTAGCATTATTATGATTACATCTCCACTGGGGATATAATTGTTTTTAACCCTAATGTGTCATATCTTTCTCTTAATCCTCCCTTACAGATATCTTTTTTTTTTTAATCTATATTTTATACGTAGAAGATTGGTCACAGATTATCACAAAAATGATAAAATGTTATACATAGTTCAGTCAGTATAGAGTGGATCTCTCAAACCCCCACCTTTGTATATTATTATGTTATATTCCCGCCAAAAAAAAGATGTAAAAATTCCAGAGTATTGCAGTATGCAGTGATACCTTTTTTGATATTTAAAAGACAAGCTTGCGAGAGTTCAAACTTTAAGAAAATATCAACTCTTAAAAGTCTTTTATATACTACGGTAGTCCAACAAAAAAAAAATAAGTTAATACTTTGGCATCTTGTCTGTTGGACTACTACGGCTAATCCAATCTACAAAAAAAACAAAAACAACAAGAAGTGAATAAGAATATGTGTAGATGGAAGTAGGATGAGAAGGTAATGGGGTAGAGACGAAACTCCAAGTGCATCCCCCACCAGAGGGAAACAGAGTTATGCAAGCTCTCTGATCGGGACATGTCTGCCATGGAGTATGAATCTTTGATTTTATCTACCACCACATCCACAGAGGGTGTCCTCTCACTCCTCCAGTGTGGGGCAGGGGCTTGTCTTTTAACAGTGAGAGTGTCTCTTAACTCTATGCATCTACCACCACCAGGGCCAGCGCCACCTATAGGCAAAGTAGGTGCCAGCCTAGGGCGCACGTTTTGAAGGGGGGACCCACACACGCCTCTTCACTTGTAGAAGTGATATGATGGACGGAGGCGTGGGCGCCAGGAGCGCCTACAATCTGCAGTGCAGACTTGGAACCGGAACTTGGATCTTGCCCCAGGAGTGCAGACTTGGAAATGGATCCCCCGTTTTTTTTAAACATATATATATATATATATATATATATATATATATATATATATATATATATATATATATATATATTTTTTTTTTTTTATTTATTTTTTTTTTTTTAACATTCCCCATAGCCCTTTTTTAGCCTCCTAAAGTACTAACCCCCACTAATTCCCTACCATTGTCCCCTACTACCAACTACTAACCTTAACCCCCTACTTTTGCCTCTAACCACCCACTACTGCCCCTAACCCCCACAGCTCCCTACCATTGTCCCCTAACTACCCCCTACTAATGCCCCTAACACCACCCTACCATTGCCCCCAACCCTCTACTTATGCCCCTAATCTATTGTCCTCCCCCTAACCCCCACCCCTGAGCGGTGGTTGGGGCCCTAAATGAGAATGAGGAAGGGGGGGACCAATAGGTCCCCCCGGCCCCCACCCCTGAGCGGCAGGTGGGGGCCCTAAATGAAACTGTCACCCCCCCCACCCAAAAAATAAATAAATGAATAAACCCCTACCTACCCACCACACCCTAAAAATAGTGAGGGGGGAACAAAAGAATAAGTACCTGTAAAAAAAATAAAAAAAAACTTACCATTGGATGTCTTCTTTTTTCTAAAATCTTCATTTTTCAGCCCCAAAAAAGGCCAAATAAAAATCCATTATAAAGCCTTCCCACGCCCTGCAATTAGGATCAGAGCGCTCTGATTGGTTGGTTTATCCAATCAGAGTGCTCTTACAGGTAAATGAAGAGACTGACAGGTAAGTCTCTACATTTACCTGTCACAGCACTCTGATTGGATGGCTTGAAATCCAACCAGAGTGCTCTGTGTCATAATACACAGTGTGGGAAAGTTCTTTGGAATTTTCTCAAAGCAGGACAATAGGTCCCCCCGATTCCCTTCCCCCTGGGTCCCTCCACCTTATTGTTATTTAGGACCCGCCGCTCAGGGGTGGGGGCCAGGGGGAAGGACAGTAGCTCCCCCCCATTCTTATTTAGGGCCTTCACCAGCCACTCAAGGGTGGGGGCCAGGGGAGGAAGGACAATAGGTCCCCACCCGTTGTTATTTAGGGCCCCACCCGCCGCTCAGTTTAATAGCCCCCACTGCTCACTGTTTAGTAGACATGTTCCTACTCGAGTAGGGGCAGAATTTACTAACACGAAGTAATCTTTTCTAAGTATTAGTAATTTTGCTGAATGACCAATTTAGGTCTTTCAGCCTTTTGGTAGATAGCTCCTTGATACCGTGGCACGAATAGGATCAGAGTTTCATTCAAATGAAATTTCAATCCGAACAAAGTCCCGAATTGCATCCTAACACGAATGGAGAAAAACTGTTCTCATTCTGTTAGGACGCGATTCGGTAGTTTCGCCGGCGTTCTGTCTAAGTGACAGGACGTTCAGGAAAAGTGAAAGGAGGCTTTGTGGGAACACAGAAGAAAGGTGAGAATTATGGGAAAATTGCTCTGACCACCGGAAATGGAGCACGCTTTGCTCCTCTGCTGGTCAGAGATGGTCAGGTGTAGGAAACTTCCATAAGACAAATAGTCCCTACTTTGTCTTATGTTTTAAAAACTAGAGCAGACAGGAAGAAATGAAGAACAGATCATGAGAGAGGGAGAGAAGAGGAATCAAAGAAAGTGCAACCATGAAATATCATGACTGTGCTATTACCTGCAGCACCATCTCCTCTAGAGTTAAACGCCCAATCAGGTCCTCCACACGTTTATCCCACGGAAGTGAAGGGTCCATAAAAGGATATTCCTGCCCGTAAGATATTACCAGGTTTAGCAGAATCACGGCCACACTCAAGATGTTTGCATGCTCCATGTATGCGGCAGCTATAGAGGCTCATAAAGATGAATTCACACTCCAGCTTGATGACAAAAGACAGAAATAGTAGTTATAGACTAAATGCTTTGCAACTTAAAAATAAAATCATTAATCTGTGCATTTATATAAATTACCCAGAGTGAAAATCATATTTCTGTGTAATTAGTATTTTTGTTTTTTGTTATTAAACTAGTTAAAATACTCCAAGATCAAATTAATTACAGACAGGTTCCATTTTGCCATTTTTGCATAGCCTTCTACAGCTATACACTATAATGAATATCTAACTTTGATAACATGTAAAGATATGGACAAGGCATAAAAAGCAAAAATGAAATTAAGGTAAGGAAATCCCTGGTTTTATTACTCCTAGCTGAAAAAAAATAACAAAATGCACCATTAACTTGTACTGATTTGCTTTGCAAATAAATTATATATTTGTTTTGACATTGCATTTTTTTGTGTTTATCACATTAAATTCATTTATATTAATATTATGTTTGTGAGGTATTAGGCATTATATTTTTTATTTTTTTCCATTATAGAGATGAGTGAAAGATGGCCTTTAACACTCGCACGTGTACTTGGTGATGCACCAGCCATCTTCTGAGATCTTGTCAATGGCATGTTACGTTACTTGCTACTTTTATTTTTATTTAAATTTATTTTTATTTTTGTCAGATAAAACGTGTTTCGATACATTTTGAGTATAACATCAGTAAGAAAACATGCAGTTTTGACGGTACAAGCATATGTACAGAACATGGTTTTCATGGATACAATGAATACAAAGAATGACAAAGTTATACCTTTTGCTTATACCGAATGTAGTTGTCTCAGCTGTATGGTCTACTAGGGTCTTATTCGTGCTAGGTGGGAATTTGGTGTCGATAGTTAGTTTCGTGGGAAATTTAGTCACGCTTTGGGTACCTTGTCTACTAAGAGAGCCTAAAGGCTGCGTTGTGGTATGAGTATAAGTATTAATAATAATACTATGGTTGTCTGTAGCTCGTTCGGTCTGTGTGGGCCATCTCTTGTATTTTTGAGTCACAGTCGTTGGAGTTGATTGCGCGTTAACTATAATCGTCACTCAGGTCTGAATTTTTGTCTGTGGGGTTTCGTTGACTTTGTTAGGTCTACTGTATAGTTACTATTTCGTTGGTATCTGTTTCCGAATGCTCTGTTGGCCCTTGCGAGTCATCCCCACTTCAGTACCTCCACTCCTCCCCCCCCCCTGTGACAGTCAGTCCCGTCCGTCGAGGATGCCCTGTTTTTGCTAAATGTGATCCAGAGGTTCCAAACTTCAATGTGTTTCGAGTGGTTTCCTAGTTTAGACTGTGCTATAGCTTCCATTAATCTTGTATCTTCCACCCTCTGTATCCATTCCCTGATTGATGGGGGTTTGGATTGTTTCCAGTACTTGGGTATTAACTGGGATGCTGCCGTAGTCAGTTGGATGAAGAGATTAGTATCTCTTTTCGAGAAGCCATGTGGGGGTATGTGGAATAGATAGTTAGCTGGGGCTAACGTGAACGTGGTGTGGAATATGATTTGGATGAGCGTGTGGATTCTGGACCAAAACCTAGCTATTAGCGGGCACTGCCACCAAATGTGTGCGTGGTTAGCCCCCGGTTGGTTGCATCTCCAACATTGGTCCGTGGGGGTGGTGTGTATCAGGCGTAATTTAGCAGGTGTGTAGTGCCATCTGGTTACTCTTTTAAAGTTACTCTCTTGGGTAGAAAGTGAGATAGATGAGGTATGAACCTTTTTCAGGATGGATAGCCATTGCTGTGGTGAGAGTGTAATTTTGAGTTCTTCCGTCCATTTTGTCGTGTACCCTGGGAGAGTCCGTGAACGTGCGTCGGTGATCAGGGAGTACATAGTGGAGAGTAGTTTTTTAGTGACCGAGTGTGAAGTGCAGAGTTGCTCAAATTTGGTCAGTTGTCTATCCCCGCTGGGCAATAGGTTATGAGTTCTAATGAAGGTGGACAGTTGGTGGTGGCGCATTTTTTGGACTAACGTGTGGGTTAAGTTCGGCATAATATGGGATAGGGATTTAATCCCGCCCTCGTGTACCATATCCCTTAATTGCAGGGTGGAGCCTACATGATACATGTGGAATGCCTGTCCCGAGTCCCCTTGCTGAAATAAGGGGTTGTGGGTGAGTGGATACAATGGTGACGGGTGCGGCGAGATTCCCAAGTTGTATCTGAGCTTGTGCCAAATTCTCAGGGTTGGGTCTATTGTTGGGTGTGTTTTAGAGGAGAACGTCCGAAATTGTGTGTGGGCATCGGGCAACCAACAGATGGTGCGTAGGGTATGTTTGGATATCGTGTTTTCTATATGCGTCCATGGCATGACGTGAGTGGGCTTTGTCCATTCATAGATCCGTTGCATCTGAGTCGCCTGATGATATTGCTCTATGTCTGGGAGATTTACTCCTCCTTGCTCTTTGCCTTTTGTCAGTGTGGAGTAGGCTAGCCTAGGGGTTGTGTGTGCACAGATAAATTTAGTGAAGATGGCTCTGATTTTTAAAAAGAAGGTACGGGGAATAGCAATGGGGAGTGTTTGAAGAAGATAGAGCACCCTAGGGAGGAGGTTCATTTTTAGTATGTTAATTCTGCTAAACCACCCAAAGCATGGTTTGTGCCACGCTCGTAGGTCCTTGGCAATGGTCTCTAATAGTGGAAGAAAGTTTAATTTATAAGTACATTCCAAATCGTTTGGGATGTGGACTCCTAAGTATTTGATGGACTTGGAGGCCCAGGTAAATTTATATTTAGTTCTCAGCGTAGTATTGAGTGAGGTTGCTGCGTGTATAGGTAGAAGTTCACATTTGGATAGATTTGCCCGGAAGTTTGAGAGTCTCCCATAGGTTTCCATTTCGGTAATTATGTGGGAAATTGTCTCTGACGGACTTGTCACAGTGAACAGGAGGTCGTCCGCAAAAGCTGTGACCTTGTATTCCTGTGAGTCTATGCAAATGCCTCTTTGCTGTTGGACGTGAATAGATAGCGTCTATCCACTCCTGCCAGCGAGAGCCAAAGCCCAGTAGACGGATTGTGTGTTTCAGCAACGCCCAACTGACCCTATCAAAAGCTTTTTCAGCATCGATGGCCAGAAGGGCACTGTCGAGTTTGTGTATTTGCGCCCAGTGGATAAGGTTAATGATTTTTGTGGTGTTGTTCTTGGCCTCTCGGTGTGGGACAAAGCCAGCCTGATCATGGTGAATAAGACCAGGGAGTAGGGGTTTGAGTCTAGTGGCCATTATTTTCGTAAGAATTTTCAAGTCTAGATTTATCAGTGATATGGGCCTGTAGCTGCCACATGAGGTCAGGTCTTTACCCGGTTTCGGTATCAAGGTAATGGTTGCCTCGAGCGCAGTATGTGGAATGCAGGTCGAGAGGTTTCGTGTGTTAAAAGCATCTATAAAGGGTTGTGCCAGAATTGGTGCCATTAGTTTGTAGTATTTCCCGGTGAATCCATCTGGGCCTGGGCTTTTGCCTATGGGTATGGTCTTAGTCACGTGAAGAAATTCGTCCACCGAGATTGGGTCGTCTAGGAATGCCATGTCGTTGGCCGGGAGGGTGCGCTTAATTCTGGATGTTAGGAAATCTATTACGTCTTGGGGTGTGGGAGGGGCCGATTTCAGGTTGTATAAGTCGGTGTAGAATTTGTGGAATGCTCCCATTATGTCTGGCATGTGGCTAGTTATCCTGCCTGTTTCAGTTCTAATGTCAGAAATGAAGGTAGATTGTCGTTCTTTCTGTAACGACTGTGCTAGGAGTTTCCCAGCTTTGCCTCCCTGCATATAGTATGTGCTTTTCGTCAGAGACATTTTCCTTTTGGCATGGAGGGTCAGAATCGTATTTAATTCTGTCCGTTTGGCTAGTAGCGAGGAGTAGTCCTGCAGCATGGATATGTCATGGTGTTTGCATTCTAGAGTTTTGATTTCCCTAGTGAGTCTGATAATAGACCTTTCCCTCTTGTGTTTCAGGTTGGAGGCTATTCGGATTAGTTCTCCTCTGAGTACTGCTTTGTGTGCTTCCCACGTCATTATGGGAGCAGTGTCCGCCGTTGTGTTTTCCCTAAAGTAGTCAGTGGCCGTCTTCTTAATTTGTGCAAGAGTGTCAGGGGGATTTAGTAACAGGTCATTCAGTTTCCATTGTGCCGAGGGATTGGGTAGGGATGGTATGGTCAATGTGAGCGTCAGGTGAGCGTGGTCAGACCATGTGATGGGTCCATAGGAGGACGTCTGTATCATGGGCAAGTATCTATGCTGTAGGAAGAAAGAATCTATACGGGAATAGGTCCCCGTAGGTGGTGAGAAGAAAGAGTAATCTTTCTTCGTAGGGTGGATCGCTCTCCACCCATCATACAGTTGAGCATCGTAGAGAATTTTTTTCATCTGCAGTCTTGATTGGGATTGGTATTTGTGGGCGGTAGTGGTAGAGTCTAGGGCTCCGTCTAGAGAATTGTTAATGTCACCTCCCAGGATCACCACCCCTTCATGGAATAGCGAAAGTTTCTCTAAGATTTTTTTGAGGGATTGGGCCTGTTTCTTATTGGGTAGGTAGATGTTGGCCAGCGTGATTTGGGTGTTTCCTAGCTTTCCTTTTACAAAAAGGAACCTGCCGGAATCGTCTTGTTGTTGGTCTTGGAAAGTGAATTGTGTGTGGCGGTGGATAAGTATGGCGACCCCTCGTGCTTTTGCTTCTGAGTAATGACTAAAGTATCCTCTTGGGAAGTCCCTGTTTTGTAATTTAGGGGGGGTGTTTTTGCGGAAGTGGGTTTCTTGGACAAAAACGATATGTGCTTTGTGTCTGTTAAAGTCCGCTAGGGCCATGGATCTCTTCTCTGGGGTGTTGAGGCCCCTCGCATTTTGCGTGAGGAGTGTTATGGTTGCCATCCCGAGGGAAATTGGTAGAGGAGATACCTGGAGAGAGAGATGTGATTGAGATGTCGTTTACTGTACCGTATCCAGTGAGACCCCTGGGTGTATTGTTCCTAATTCAGTATCTCAGCCCGTGTGTGGAGTGTCAGTAGATCGGTGTGTGTCTTGTGCAGGGTTAGATTACCTTATCTCGGGTTTTAGCCCGAGGGTGGTGAGGGGGAAGGAAGAGAGAGACTGTCTGCCTGGGTAGTTTCGCGGGATCTGTCCTGCCACAGTGGCCCCTGCCGGTGGGGGCTATGGGGGAGGTGGCCGGTGACTCCTTAGCTTATAGTCGTGTCAAGTAGATAGTCCTGGTCGGTATTAACTGAACCTTGGAAGAAACAGTATAAAACAGTATAAACACAAAATGTCTGTAGTTAAGATGTTGAAACATTTAACAAAAACAAACGAGATAAAGCACTGACAATGGCAAATCCCGCCCAGCCCTCAGTGGGCCACTGTCTAGTGGCTCCTGCTTGACTATGTTAGTATGATTCAAGTACTAACAACTCGTTATGACCTTATCGCTCTATCACCCTTACGGTACAATTGGGATATCGGTAGTGTAAAATGGGGAAGAGGATAGATCTGGAAAGGTGTCCACTCCTAGGAGTGTGACTGGTTTTCCCTGAGGGGGAATCTGGTCCTATCTCGGCGCAAGAGTTAGAACCAAGTCTAAAATGGGGTTGTGTGGTCTTGGGATGCGCCTGAGACCCGGGACTATTAATCCTCAAAGATTAAGTATTCGTTTGGAGAACTATGGAACCTAAGTTGGGTATGCTAAAATTTTTTTTTTTTTTTTTTTTATATATTAACTGGGAGAGACCCACTACGAGAGTTGTTATTCCTTATAGGCTAATTCAAGCTAAAAGACCTGCACTAACAAGGCCTGGTGCTAAGGCTAAAGTGAGAATAACGTCCCATTGGTGTCAAAGTACATATTGTTAGTCGGAGCATACTTGCCCTCCCCTCTGGTAAGTGGGGTATGATAGCGTCCATTGCCTGGCCTTGGAGTCTATGAAAAGAGGGACGTCAGATCCATATATCATTCAATGCTCCGGTGTCACCTCCCTGTTCCGACGTCCCCAGGGTCAGACGATTCTCAGTGGCAGATGTCTCCAAGAGGACTTTTGTGCAGTTTGTAAGAGTGAAGGAGTATAGAGGATTTCCAGATACTTCATCTGGCTTCGTGTCCGTGTAGTCGATCTTTGTGTCCCTGTGTAGGGGTGCTTGGTCCTGAAGTAGCCTCCTAGTCGCCTGTGGCCATTCGCTTGCGGGCAGGGGTGTTGGGTTGTCTCCCCCGTCTTGCTTGTGGAGAAGTTAATCCGGAGTCATTTCTGCTCGTTTTCGCCGGAGTACTCCAATTCTGTCGTTGAGTTAGTTGCAAGTTGTCTTGGTGGGGTATCGGGTAGTTCCAATCCAGTATCGTCGTGTCTGGAAGCTCCAGGGCCCGGAGGAAGGGAGGAACATCTAGAATTGAGGCTATTTGGGTGACAGTGCCCTTGTAGTTCACTATCAGGGCAAAGGGGAAGCCCCAGCGGTATTTGATGCTTCTATTGCGCAGCAGCTCGGTGATTGGCTTAAGGGCCCGCCTAGCCTGTAGAGTGTACCAGGAGAGGTCAGGATATATTTGTATGGGATTACCGTGATACAGTAGCGGCTGTGAAGTTTCCCGTAATGCTCTCATTACTCCATTCTTCGTGTCAAAGTAGTGTAATCTACAAATAATGTCTCGTGGGGAGTCTTGAGAGATTCCCTTGGGGCGCAGGGAGCGATGTGCTCTGTCCAATAACAGGAGGTTGGCAGGGGCATCTCGTATCAGTAGCCCGAAGAGCTCTGTTAGGATGGACGTTAGGTCTTCAGTTGGGGACTCAGGCACCCCCCTTATGCGCAAGTTGTTCCTGCGACCCCTATTATCGAGGTCATCAATGTGCCTCTGGGTGGCAGACATAAATTGTATGTGGGAGTTTAAGGTGGTGGAGATGTTAGTGATTTGAGCCTGCATAAGATCTCTCTCTTCCTCCAAGTCACCCACCTTCAAGTTTAGTTGTTGGATTTCCGTTCCCATTTCCGCCATCTTGGAATGCAGGGAGGCTTACAATTTGTGTATCATGTGCTCCATATCCGTTTTCGACGGTAAGTTCTTTAGGAGATCCCTGATATCCAGGTCTGGGATGATCTCCAACGATTTCAGAGAGCCCTCCGATGGTTGAGGGCTGGGTGGTAGGGATTCCGCCATAGGGTCAGCTCCCGCCATCTTGGAGGTCGCGGCCGCGGCCTCCGTGTCTCTCTCCGAGCTATCTCTCAGGAAACGGGTGAGAGTGCCCGATTTGGCCGTTGGAGTTTTCCCCTGGGCTCCCTGCATCTGTTGGTACTTCTTTTGGTTACCCATGTTCCGCGTAGGTCTCCGATCGCATCGGATTCAGCCCGGGTCTTGAGGAGAGGATTTAGAACATGTCCGTCTCGCTCTGCGGTCGGCCACGCCCCCCCTTACTTGCTACTTTTATGTGTTGTTGACTCTCTGACGAAATTTACACACATTCACCACATCTAGAGACACAATACATACATGTCAGAATGGTATTATCTAAACTACTAAATGTGTATTGTAAACCAGAAAAATGCTTATTCCATCAATTTAGTGTACAGTTTCTGGGTTATATCATATCAGAATAAGGGATCACTATGGTTCCTTCCAAGCTCAAAGCCAATTAAACATGGTCTTACCACAAAGTTTGAAGGCTATCAAACATTTCCTTGGATTTACCAACTACTATTTTTTTTTGTGAATATGATTTTTATTCATTTTGCATATATTAATGTTCGATGAGACGTGCAGGTCTCCATTGTATGTTATTATAAAAGGTAACAAGTTAGGCTCGCAGGCCCCATCGTAGAAGGACTCGCAGGTCCCCATTTTCTGGTATTTACATTTGTTTGGGAATATAAGTTAAGTAACGTTTTCATAAACTGGGTGAACATTATGCCAAGCAACCGTCCTTGAACCGGATTAATCAGTCCTTGATTAGGTGTCAGTGTTTGTAGGCTTCCCCTATGGTCTCTGTCAACGGGCGTCTCACAGGGCCCTGTGTCCTTAGCCATGTGGCATTGTCCGTGGTGGGCTTGTGTTTTCCCCCGTTATTACTATCAGTATTTCCCGTGTTTAACCAGGGGTATGGTGATATTGCAGGTAGGGGGTACTCTTATATTGGGTGTGTGGATACTGCATTAGCCGTGTCATTGCCGGGCCTGTCCAGGATTATCACAGGTGTTCGCGTGTTTTGGCTTTGGGGTGACGTCCCGGACTGGTCTGGACGTGTGTACCAGCTCGTGTTTGTTAGTCGTTCCTGATTATGGTTTCCCTTATTGCTATGGGTGCGGTGGGGATGATTCAGTCAATGATGATGCTCGGGTATTTCGCGTCGGGATGGGAAGAAAAGAAAAGGGGGGGGTAGCATTTTGTGTATCCTCTTCCAGTATGGTTGGATCAAGGCGCAATCCCACCAGATGTGTTTCGTGGTGCCTACCTCTCGTTCACATCTCCAGCAGAGTCTGGAGTGGTCTGGGTTTACGTGGTGAAGGAGATGTGGTGTCCTGTACCAATGTGTTAGAAGCTTGTAGGCCGTTTCCTGTGTTTTGCTGTGTGTGGAACAGTGGTGTGTAAGGTAGCAGATGGTTTCCAATTCTGCTTCTGTTAGCGTGTTACCCAGGGTTGTCTCCCATTTTCCCATGAAGAGTGGTGTCTCGGACAGGGTTTCTGATTGGAGCATAGAATATAAGAAGGACACTCCGTGTGGGAGCGGGTCTGGGTGTGAGCTGACCACTTCTATCGTGGTCTGGTCTCTGGCCAGTGCTGGTCCCTGCGGCAGGGAGTGGATGTAATTGGTCAGTTGGGCATGTCGGAAGCGGTGCATAAAGGTCGGGGGCGTCTCTCCCATCAAGTCCGTTAGTGTTTTACATTTCCCTCCTTGGAGGAGGTGGTGTAGGCGTGGGGATCTGTCCGGGAGGATGTGTTTGAGGACTCCTGGGTCCAAACCCGGCGGGAAGTCCTCGTTGTGTGTCAAGGGTAGGAGGGAGGAGGGGTACGTTGCCATGTTCCCCTTCTTCGCGGCCCTCCTCCAAACTCTCATGGTGTGTCTTGTGTATATGGACATGTCACCTCTATCGGTTGTGTCTCGGCCCCAGGGAAGGCCCGAGATCGGTCTGCCTGCTTCTGCCTCTTCCACCGTCTTCCATAGTTTGTGTACTCCGTCTTTAGACCACTCCATGATTCTCTGTAGGTGTGTGGCCACGTAGTACTGGTGGAAGTCTGGGAGGGCTAGTCCCCCTTTGTCTTTAGGACGTGTCAGTGTAGAAAATTTCACTCTGGGCCTCCCCCCGTTCCATACGTATTTTATCATTTCTTTTCTGAGTGTGTTAAAGAAGGGGCCTGGTATGACAATGGGGATGGCCTGGAAGAGGTATAAGAGGCGCGGAAGAAAGTTCATTTTTATGACCTGCACTCTCCCGAGCCACGATATGTGCGGGTAGGACCATTCCCTCAAGTCTCGTTGGAACGTGTGCAGTATAGTGGCGAAGTTGTCCCTATACAGGTCTCTGCTCTGCCTGGTCAGCCATATACCTAAGTACCTAATTTTATGTTCAGCCCATTGGAAGGGGAAACTGCGTCATAGAGGGTCTGCGCGTGTGGCGGGGACGCTAACATTAAGGATGTAGGATTTGCCGTAATTAATTTTAAGGTTAGATATATCGCCAAATGTCCGCAGGTCTTTCTGGATGTTTGGAAGGGTGATCTCGGGGTTGGTCACCACAAAAAGTAGGTCATCTGCGTACGCCGCTACCTTGTGGTGTACTTGGCCTGTCGTCCGGCCCGTTATGTCTGGGTTGTGGCGAATGTGTGTGAGGAATGGTTCCAGGGCGAGAGCGGGCACCCCTGTCGCGTGCCGTTGTGTATGGTCAGTCAGCGCCCCGTTAACTAACACCTGGGCCGTCGGTGCTCGGTATAGAGCCTCTATCCAGCGTCGGGTGTGGGGACCCAGCCCCATGTGGGATAGCGTCTCGAAGAGGTAGTCCCAGCTCACTCTATCGAAGGCCTTCTCTGCATCCGTGGACAACAAGAGGAGGCCTCCGTCCGTGCCCCCACCTCCGTGCATAAGTGTGAGCGCTCTGATGGTATTGTCGCGCGCCTCGCGTCCTGTCACAAATCCCACCTGGTCAGGGTGGACCAGAGATGGGATGTGTTTGGTGAGGCGCACCACCAGGATCTTGGCCAGTAGCTTAATGTCGCAATTGATTAGCGATATTGGTCTGTAATTCCCGCAATGCTCTCTGTCTTTGCCGTCCTTGGGTATGATGGTGATATGGGCTGTTAGAGCTTGGGTAGGGATGTGGTTTCCTTCTCGTATCGCGTTAAATGCTTCCACCATGGGTGGGTAAAGATCCTCGGCGTAAGTCTTATAGTATTTTACCGGTAAGCCATCCGGCCCTGGGCTTTTGCCCGGTTTAGTGAGTTTGACCGCTCGCGCTAATTCCTCAACAGTTATGCGTTCGTCAACCAGGTCAGCGACTTCTGCGTCTAGGGACGGTATCGGGTATTTAGTCAGGTAGTCCTGAATCGAGCGGCGAATGTGTGCCTTAGCCAGTTCGGTTGTCGGTTGTGGGAGTTTTTATAGCTCAGCGTAGTATGTACGGATCGCTCTCATGATATCAGTCGGGAGACGGTGTAGGGTCCCCTGTTTGTCTCTGATCTTGTCGATGTAAGTGTGCTGTCTCTGTTTCCTCAGCATCGTAGCGAGGAGCTTGCCACTCTTGTTCCCATGTAGGGTAAAGAAGGCCTTGTTTCTAAGTGCCTCCCTGTGGTGTTTGGAATGCAGTATGGTCGCTAGGTCCCTCCTCAGTTGTAGGAGTCGGGTCTGGTGTGTGTGGTCTGGGTCGCGTTTGTTTTGTTCGTCCGTTTTGCTGGATATCGTCTAGTAGGACGGTCAGTCGGGCTTCGGTTTGTTTTTTTAGTATTGCCCCCTGTTGGATATAGTGACCTCTTATCACACTTTTGTTTGCTCCCCAGCGTATCGTCGGCGATGTCTGCTCCGTCGTATTGGTGGCAAGGTACTCTCTGATTTTATCGCCTATGAGGGTCGTGACTCCCGGGTGGGAGAGTAGGTATTCATTGAGTCTCCATTTCGGGGATGTGGGGCGGAATAGTGGTGACTTTATTTTGAGGGAGACAGGGGCATGGTCCGACCATGTGGCTGTTCCGATCCCGACGTCAGTTACCAATGAAAGGTCGTAGTGTGAGGTGTATATGTGGTCGATGCGGGAGTATGAGTTGTGCGGATGGGAATAGAAAGTGAAGTCTCGAGCGTCTGGGTGGTGTCCGTGCCCTCCTTGTCCCATGTCTAGAGCGTGTGGCTGATCTATGGGTTAGTCTGGATTGTGTGGCCTGGTTGCGACCTTTCCCCCCTTCCCCTCCGTAACTTATCAGCGTCCCCACCCCGGGTGTGCCCCGCCGGCGCCATCCCCCGCCTGCTCCCCGAGGTTCATCACAGGGTAGGCGAACGGCGGCGGCCGGGCCCAGCCGGGGGGGTGGCGCCCCCCTGATCCCCTAGACCCAAGTGTGTGGACCAGATGTTACTCGTCTCCCTTGCACCTTGCATTATCATAGGAAATTCAAATTAGTCCAGTAGGCCACAGGGCACCACACGGACGGGCCCCTGCGACCCAGGAGCACCCCCCGGTGCTTCTCTGCTGGTGTGGCTGGACGTGTCTCCCGTGGGAGGTGCCCTTGCGGTTGTGTGGCCTAGTGGCGACCGTTCCCCCCCCTCCCTTCCGCAACCTCTGTGTCCCCGAGGTTCATCGCAGGGCGGGCGAACGGCGGCGGCCGGACCCAGCCGGGGGGGTGGACACTCCCCTATTCCCCTAAACCTAAATATGTGAACCAGATGTTACTCGTTTCCCTTGCACCTTGCGTTATCATAGGAAGTTCAAATTAGTCCAATAGGTCACAGGGCTCCGCATGGCCGGGCTCCTGTGTCCTAGGTGCGCCCCCCGGTGCTTCTCTGCTTATGTGGCTGGGTGTGTCTCCCGTGGGAGGTATACTTGCGGTTCGGAGGGGTCAGCGCAGTGTGTCCATAGTCTCTGGTTCTGGTAGTCGGGTATGGAAGTGTGTGGCTGGTCCACGGGTGGGTCGAGGTGAGGCCCCGGGATGGAAAGTAGGCGGTGCGCAGTCCCTTATATGTTGGCGCCCGTGGGGCGCGTGGTCTGCTGTCTAGTTCTTCGTGGTCTGGTGTGCTGTTGCGACTGGCGGTGTGCTTCGGGTGAAAACTCGTAGCAGGCCATCGAGTCCGGCCAGGTCAGCTGTATGTGTGGTAGTTCCCGAACAATGTCCCTCATATCGCCGTTGTTCTTCAAGGTGAAGGAGCCGGTGCTTGTGGTGACTTGTATGCCAGTGGGGAAGTTCCAACGATACCTGATCTTGTTGGCTTGTAGTGTGCGTGTAAGAGGGCGCATGGCCCGTCGGTACGCCAGGGTCGCTGGAGATAGGTCCGGATATAGTTGTAGTTCCGCGCCGTGATGAAGGATTTGTTTTTTATCCCTAGCGCTCTTCAGGATGTCTTCCTTCACTTGAAAGTGTAATAAACAGCATATCACGTCCCTTGGGGGGGGACTCCGGTGGGTCTCTGGGTCTGAGGGCTCTGTGTGCCCTAACAAAATCAATAGGCGTCGTGTTCGGCCGCTGTAGAAGGGAATTGAAGATTTCTGTGAGGGAATCTCGTATTGGGGTTGTCTTGTCAAGTTCCTCAGGCAGGCCCCGGATTCTGATATTCTGCCGCCTCCCTCTGTTATCGAGGTCTTCCATGTGGAGGGCCATTTGGCGCAGTTGTATCGCCTGCCGCTGTATTACGTTTGCGGTGGCGTTTTGTGCCGATGTCACGTGGTCACAGTCTGCCTCCAACAATGCTAGCTTATGGTGTAGCCCCTGCATGTCCTCCCTTAAGGCATGGAGTTCCCCTGTTATGGACTTGTGAAGGGCGGCATTTGCCTCTTTAAGGTCAGCTTTCGTGGGTAGGTTGCTCAGTAGGGATGCCCAGTCCAGCTGGGATCGGGGTAGGTCAGGTGTAAGTTGTACCTGTTCGTGGTGTCTGCCGGGCGGGCCAGGCCCGAGGCCTCCGAGTCACTAGAGGCCTGAGAAACGTGATCCGCCTGGGTCAGGAGGTATTGTCTCATGCCCGGTGTTTGGGACCCCCTCGGAGTGTTGGCGGTCGCTGCCGCTTGCTTTTGCCGGTTTTTTTTGCCCATTTTGCGGTGTGTGGGGCTAGTGAGGCGGGTAATAGCGCAGAGCCTACAGGAAGCTCCTGGTTCACGCCGCCATTCCGATCTGCGTCCAAGCCACGCCCCCTACCAACTACTATTAAAGAAAGTTTATACACAATTTTTCTTCCAACATAACACCCCTCACTAACATTACAAAAATGTGAAGTAATCCCTTGTTTGGTAGATTGAAGCCTTAGCTGCTATAGTAAAACTTAAGTCGCACTTCTCAACAGCCATAGTCTTGGTTCATCCTGATATAACTAAACCATTTATCCTTGAGGTTGATGTCTTGGAAACCAGCATTGGAACGGTATTGTCTGAGTCTGAAATTAATTATAATATAGGTAATAGATCATTACTAGCGATTGTTTTTGTGTTTAATAAATGGAGACAGTTCTTAGAGGGTACTAAATATCTTGTCATAGTAATAACTGACCATAAGAACCATATATAGCCAATGCTAAACCTTTAACCACTAGACAGGCCTGCTGGTTTCTTTGCCTGTCACATTTAAACTATATAAATCACATACAGACCTTGTTACCGTAACACAAAATCTGATGCCTTATCTAGGCAGTACGAATTCCTTGAGAGCAAACAGAAAGATAACAATCCTATAGTTCCTCCTGAACACATTATTGCTGCAACCCAACTTATTTTTTCTTCTCCTCTCTTTGAAGGTTAACTGTTCAATATATATCTGTGCCAAAATACCTGATGCACCTTATAATCTAAATTATATCTGTACAAAATTAAAGGGTTGGCTTCTGGGTGCTTGCAAATGAATCTGGGCATACAGCAACTCTGCCAATGTCTATTGGTAGTGTAATTGGGTTGTGAATTTTATACTAGGACACATAGCCGGTGGCCATCTTGATGTTCTTGGAAGCACATGGTCGGTAGCCATATTGGGGCTCCTGAAAGCACATGTTTGGGGGCCATCTTGGAACTCCATAAACACAGTGAACGTTAACACAACAGTTATTGTGAAACTATTTGAATTCAGCAACTAATTCATCCAAAATCACATCAACTGTTTCGCATACCTTGGACCAACCTAGTTCTCTCTGTATTTCAAATACAAATTAATGGCTTAAGAATATAATGTAACAGGTTCACTAGACATATTCCTATTCTTCTTCCTGTCTCTGTCGATGGACAGGAGGAGTTTGAAGTCCTTGATTCCAAATCTCGTGGACTTCTACAGTATCTCATTAACTGGAAGGTGTATGGTCCAGAGAAGCATGCATAGGTTCCTGCTTCAGATGTGCATGCTCCTAGCCAGCTCCATGAGTTCAATGCTTTGTTTCCACGCAAGCTTTCTAGTCTCCGCCCTGCAGATGGTTCTCAAGGTGGGGATTACTTGCCACTGCCTGGATTTCTCCTTGCCACTCCAGCAATACTTGCTTGTGTGCATCTCTTTATATGTGTTTGAGCTTACGTCTGAATAGCAGCACACACAAATGAAGTAGAAGTGATTGTCTTGCGTCTTCTGGCAGCGCTACTCTAGGACATAGCCCAATCCTAATACAGCCACTAGTATTTAAATCCTGGCCTTTCTTGATCCAACTGCCCTGCTGTAGTTCTTGTTTGGCCCAATAGGACTTTTGTGATATTTTCTGATTTCCTGTTTCTGATTTTGACTTGATAATTTATCTTGTTCTCTGTATCCCTGTATTTGGGGTCCATTAAATATATCCTGACACCTGCTCCCCCAAAAAAGATAATAGCTATCCAGAGCTGAAGCCAACTTCTGCCTCAATAGGAAAATAAATTACAGGCACTCCTTAATAATCCCCCATCTACAATATTGACATTGTAACACTGTTATGTCATAAATCTCCAAAATTCACCCCACATGTATATATTTTTCTTAAACTAGATAACCCAGGGTATTCATCTAAGAATATTTTGATACTTTCTATGCAGCCATTTTACCACAAACCTTTGCCAAACTTTGCATAGGTAGTTTATTTGTTTTATTTTTTCCCATACATTGCAATTCAGGTATAAATTCACAGATTCTGTTAGGTGTCACTACCAAACAACAACCCAATATGTGTTCAGCAACATCTCCCGAGTATAGGGATACCCCCATGTATAGGTGTGTCGGGTTGTTGGGGGGCTAAAAGGCCACATTTGGCAGGTGCGCATATCAGTTTCCCAGCTTGGAATTTTGACATGTAGTCAACCTGCATGCATGTCCTATTTGGGGCTTTTTTGAAGCCGACCAATGTATTTTACCCCCATCAAACCATATATTTTTGTAGACCCCCTAGGGTATTTCACATGGTGGTATTTTAACACTTTCCATGCACTAATGCTACCACCAGGCTTTAAGTTAGTAATTTTTTTTCTGTTTTTTTTCACACACGTACTTTAGGCATGAATTAACAGATCCTGTTATGTGTCACTGCCAAACAACACCCCAATATGTGTTCAGCAAGATCTCCTGAATACAGTGATACCACCCATGCATAGGCTTGTCGGGTTCTTTCGGGGCAAAAAAAAAAAAAAAACACGTTTGGCAGGTGCGCTTATCAGTTTCCCAACTTGGAATATTGACATGTAATCAACCTGCGCCCATGTCCCATTTGAGCCAATTTATTTTACCCCCATCAAACCATATATTTTTGTAGACCCCCTAGGGTATTTCACATGGTGGTATTTTAACACTTTCCATGCACTAATGCTACCACCAGGCTTTAAGTTAGTAATTTTTTTTCTGTTTTTTTTCACACACGTACTTTAGGCATGAATTAACAGATCCTGTTATGTGTCACTGCCAAACAACACCCCAATATGTGTTCAGCAAGATCTCCTGAATACAGTGATACCACCCATGCATAGGCTTGTCGGGTTCTTTCGGGGCAAAAAAAAAAAAAAACACGTTTGGCAGGTGCGCTTATCAGTTTCCCAACTTGGAATATTGACATGTAATCAACCTGCGCCCATGTCCCATTTGAGCCAATTTATTTTACCCCATCAAACCATATATTTTTGAAAAGTAGACAACCCAGGGTATTATAAATGGTGGTATTTTAACACTTTTCATGCACTGAATTCTACCACCAGCCTTTGTCAAACTTTTGGTTAGTAATCTTTTTTTGTTTCTTTGTCACACACACTGCACTTTAGGCATGAATTAACAGATCCTATTATGTGTCACTGTCAAACACTGCCCAATATGTTCAGCAACATCTCCCGAGTACAGTGATACCCCCCATGTATAGGGTTGCTGGGTTGTTTGGGGGCCAAAAGGCAACAATCAGAACTTGTACATGTCAGTTTTTCAACTTGATATATAGGTATGCTTGGTCTGTCTTCAGTTTGACATATTTTTGCACCCGTCAGTTCATGTTACCATCAAGACAGTATATAAAGTATATATTTTTATAAAGTAGAAATCAAATGTTATAGAAGATATGGTGTTTTGACTTCTTTCCCCCAACCATTTTGCCCCCCAAAGAAAGTGTAGTGGTAATTTTGTAATTCTGGTTTTTATTCACACATCATCTGGCTTTGGCCAGCTGGCTATGTGTTACTGCCAGAAAACTTGTTAGACCAAATGTGCAGGTAGCAAATGTACATTTAGCAGCAATCTTTAAACTGACTCATGCAAATAGAATCTAACTGGAGATCTGGGGGAAGGAAACTGACTAACAAAAAAAATACAAATTCAGGAACACTTCTTACAACTGTTCTGTGTGGTACAGCTTGAAACATGTTTCTACACACAGTCCTGGTTTCGAAGGGCAATCAGGACAGTAAAAAGCGGTGTCTGTCCTTTTCCCGTTTTTAAAACAGACCTGGAAACGTTTCTGGGGGAGTGGGGGGGTCTAGAAGTTGGCAGTAACTTAAAAATAAAATGTCTGGACTCAGCTTGCACCGTTGTTGGAACTTGTCCATCTCCATAAATTGTTAAAGAAATTATTTTCAACTGAAATTGGAGAAAGGTGGTTTTCCCTGGATTATTTTTTTTAAAAAGCAAAAATGAGTTGTGGGTTGCTATTTGCATCAGATAGATAGCCACCTTGTTATACCATGGTTTGGTTTTTCGTAAAATAAGATATGGCTGCATCAGCTGATCAGCCAAATCAACACCCCCCATGTACTTATTATACGCCCTGATGCAAACCGGCTTGGACTCTACTCTGCCCCGACAGAGACGTCTGACATGCGTTCGTCATGGATGGTGGTTAGCATGTTGACATCCTTCCTGTCCCTAAATTTTAGTGCAAGCACCTCAGCTTTGCAAAGTGCTTTACATTCGCCTTTTTTAAATTTTGCCTCTATGAGAGATCGTGGAAAGTCTTTGGAATTTTTTCTGGCAGTGCCGCAGGCCAGTGTCTGTAAACCATAAAGTGTTTTAAACAGACGGACACTACTATAAAGATTATCCACATAAAGGTGGTAACCTTCATCAAACAAGGGGTTTAGAAGGTCCCATACAAGTTTCCCACTTGTCCCAAGAGAGTCAGGACAGCCAGGAGGGTCCAGTTGACCATCTTTCCCCTCATATACACGAAAGGCAAACGTGTATCCACTTTCGCTCTCACACAGTTTGTACAGTTTTATGCCATACCTACAGCGCTTTGATGGGATGTATTGTCTGAACCCTAATATCCCTTTGTATTTCATTAGAGATTCATCTATGGATACATTTTGTTGGGGGGTATAAACATCTGAAAATTTGTCCTGAAAATGGTCTATCAGTGGGTGTATTTTATGAAGCCTTTCGTATTGGGGGTGATCTCTAGGGTGACAGAGGGTATTGTCACTGAAATGTAAAAATCTCAGCAGTAACTCGTATCTGGCTCCAGGCATGGTTTGGGAGAATACTGGACTAGACATTATTGGGTTGGTGCTCCAGTATGAGCGTATTGATGGCTTCTTTATGATCCCCATGAGCATTGTAAGAGTTCAGAATTTTTTAAGCTCTGGGACATCTGTGGGATGCCTGTCATGCTCCCTGACTGTATAGCTACCTGGATTGTTATCAATAAATTGGGTAGCATACAAGTTAGTCTGGGAAGCAATCTCCTCCCAGATGGTATCCCCTAAAAATAGTTCTACATACTGCATTGGGGAGAAGCCATCCACATTAACATTAATGCCTGCGTTGGCACTAAAAGGGGGGACGTTGGGCTCGGCTAACGGTGGAGGTACCCAGTCCTCCTCCACATTCGGCATAGCAGAGGAAGCACAGCTTCTTTCTTCAGCCGACTCACACACAGATGACATGTCGTCTTGACTAGACGTGTCAGAAAACTGACCTGGGTCAAAATCTGACGCAGTGTCAGTGGCGTCAGAGTCTGACGCCAAGAAGGCATATGCCTCCTGCAAGTTATACATACACTGCATGTTTTACACACGACTAAAACAAATTACAAACACACAAAAAAATGTTATACTTTTTTTTTTTTTTTTACTAAAACAGACTAAACAGCAATCCCTAAACTAACTCCTGTCACAAACATCTAATGGAGATTTGGGGGAAGGAAACTGACTGACTAAGACAGACCAAGATTTTTAAAACAAATGTAACCCTTTAAGGGCAAAAAAAAAAATACAGACAGTACAAATGCACTGCTGTAACAGGTCTGGCAGGGAAGGGGTTAAAAAATGATTTATTTTTTTTTATTCACTTTAGATACTGTATAAAGCTCTGGAACACTTTTGCTGCAACAAACTATCACGATTTCTGTCTCTCTCGCCTCACAAAACGCTACAGAGGAGATAGGGGCAGAGATGTAACACCCACTTTGACAGCAGCCAATTGTGAGCGATCACAGATCGCTCACACGCCGCAATTGGCTGTTACTATCTGCCTGGGATGTCTGGCAGATAGTTACAGCGTTATACCGGCAGGAGCGATCTTTGATCGCTTCCCGCAGCCCGTTTTTCGCTATGACAGTTCAGGACCGTCAGCGGTCCAAACGCATATTTTACCGCTGACGGTCCTGAACCATCAGCGGTCCTGAAGAGGTTAGAGGGATCCTATAGTGCTAGGAAAACAAACTCGTTTTCCTAGCACTATAGCTTTTTAACCCCTTAAGGACACATGACATGTGTGACATGTCATGATTCCCTTTTATTCCAGAAGTTTGGTCCTTAAGGGGTTAAGGAGCCCCCCTCCCGTTGGGCTTACCTGAACCAGCAACATAAGCTGGCAGGGGAGACCTAATGTGTGGCAATGGCCACGCTTGTATTAGCATTTCACCATAGTAAAGCATTATTGAATGCTTTCCTTTGGGGAAAATCAGACGCTTGAGCGCGTGAGGACGTCCAGTGTCAGATAACAGACCAAAGGTCCGTTTGATTCTGGTAAGCCCTATAGTGGCTCTCTGGTAGACAGCCATTGAGGGCAGACTTAGAACTGCATTGTAAACATTGCAGTTCTCTGGAACTACAATGTTTTACATTGTAGCACTAAGTGCAATAGGGACACAGCACCCAGACCACTTCAATGAGCTGACGTGGTCTTGGTGCCTACAGTGTCCCTTTAAATCTCTTTCATTATAAGTGGCTAGGAAAACCCAATTTTAGAGAACGATGCCCACAGTACTCAGCTGTGGTACATATATGGATACAGGTGCACTTTTGCAAATATTTAATTTCAGAATTTAAAATGACTGTCACTTGTAAACTTTTTTAGAACAAAAAATGTTTTATTAAAGGAGAGCTCTAAGCACCATAACCACTACATTGGGCAGTAGTGGTTGTGGTGCAAGGAGTGCCCCATAGCCCTACATTGTAAGTAGTCAAACTGTTTTAGAACCTGTGGTCTGCAGATGGTGCAGGGCTAAACTTATTAGCGGAGAGTAATCAAATAACCCAATGAGCTAGCCCCGCACTACAGGGCTTAGCTCAGGACAGCTAATAGAAGCTTCTCCAGCAGAAGTAGTGCAGGCTGGGTGGAGCACCTAGCAGACTCCAACTCAGAATTCAAATTGTTCTAATGCAGTTTGACAACTTATAATTAGGGGGCACTAGAACACAGACTACAGGAAAATTCTTCCGCAACTCACAATAAATGCCTACGGCATCTCACAGAATCTTACATTGTACTGTAATATTTATGCATATTGTGAGTACACTAGTGATGCAAGATCCTGATAGATGACATAACCAGGAACTAAAGACCGCAGTAGAGAGAAGATAGTGGTTAAAGGGTTACTCCAACCAAAAACAAATGGTGTGTTTGGCTGTGGTAACCCTTATCGGCATGGTCCCTTCTCCAAAAGAAAAATAAAGAAAAGCACACCAAGGTCAAGTTCTCTCTCGGAGTCTAAACCCCAATCCTCCTCTTGAGATTTTACTAGATCTCATTGTAGTTGGTGGGAGATACTAGAGAAGGACATTTAAATGAAAAAAAAAAAAAAATCTAAAATAGCTGATCTGGAAAAAATCTCTACTTCCACTTGTCATAACACAGTGGTTTAGGCTCCAGTTCTGCAAACTGAATTTATTTTGCAAAAATAATAATACAACTTTTGTGAATGACCCTCTTTGCCCATCCACAGTCTCTCCTTTGACATAGTGTGTGTGGTGTGAGTGCTCAATGTCCTTGGTTTGTGCTGGCTTTGTGTCGTGTGTGCTGTGAGTGCTCACTGTCCTTGGTTTGTGCTGGCTATGTGAAGTCAGTATGTGTGGTGTGTGCTGGCTATATGTGCAAGGCCGGCCTTATGGGTGTGCGAGCTGTGCGGCTGCACAGGGCGCCATGGTCCAGGGGGCGCCATGTGGCCGACACAGCTCGCACATGGCCGGGTGGCAGGAGTTCAGGGGAGCTAAAACAGGTACCCAATTGGAGGATTAGCGTGCGGTTGGGCTTATCGCGAGGCAGAGGTGGGGCTAATACCTACCAGAAGCCCCTGGTAACTGCTGCACAGGAAGAGGGAAGAAGGAAGGAGGCCCTGCTTCCCCAACAACCAACTGCATCCACTACCCCTTCCAGCCATAATGGAAAGAGGTAAGTCTGTGTGTGTGTGTGTGTGTTGCCTGCCTGTGTGTGACTGTTTGCCTGTTTGTGTGACTGCCTGCCTCTGTGTGTGTGTGACTGTCTGCAGGGCTGTTTGAAGGAATTTGGGGGCCCCAAGCAAAATGGACATGGAGGCCCCTCCCAAACCCCCACTCCCCCCCACGCACACAAAGCCTACAGCAACCACAGCATAGCCATGCAGTTTAAGTTCACCCACACTTTATATAAATAAAAAAGGTTTACAGTGCAAATACTGCTGTTGCATATAATGTGCATAAATTTTGAACATTCAACAATTTAACATTTGCAAAAAACACCACTGTACCATAAAATCAAATATACATTAAAAAAGTTAACATTTTTCAGTTCTCACAAACGTGCAAATTAGCTAAAACTGCTGTGCACATAGTGTAAAAGAGCTCCCTGTCCTGTCCCCTGTCCTATAGAGCTCTCTCTTCCATCCCTTAGAGCTCTGCCCCTTAGTGGTCTTTCCTCTACCCCCACCCTCCCCTACCAGTCTCTTCTCACCCCTCCCCATGTTCTCCTCACCTCCCCCCTCCGTGTTCTCCTCATCTCCTCACCCCCCCTCTCCCTGTGTTATTCTTACTCCTTCCCCCTCCCTGTGTTCTTCTTACTGCCCCCATGTTCTTCTTACTCCTCCCCCCATGTTCTTCTTACTACTCCCCCTCCCTATGTTTTTCTTACTCCCCACTCAGTGTCCTTCTTACTCCCCTCCCACCCTCCCTGTGTCCTTCTTCCTCCCTCCCCCCTATGTTCTTCTTCCTCCCTCCCCCTCCTGTCCTTCTTCCTTCCTCCCCCTCCCCTATCCGTCTTCTTCCTCCCTCCCCTCTTCCTCCCTCCTATCCGTCTTCCTCCATCCGCCTTCCTCCATCCATGTCCTTCTTACTCCCTCCCCATGTTTTTTTACTCCCCCTCCCCATGTTTTTTAACTCCCTCCCTCCCTCCCCTTCCCTCCCTATGTGTTTTTACTCCTCCCTCGCTATGTTCTTTTTACTACTCCCTCCCTATGTTCTTTTTACTATCCCCCTCCCCATGTTCTTCTCACCTCCCCACCGTGTATGTTCTTCTCAGTTACCTCCCCTTCCCTGTAGCATGGCCGAGCTCCTCTTCCTCCTGGTGCTCAGTCCGGCCGGGTACCGCGCGGTACAGGAGATTCAGTTTTCTGTTCCCGTCCGGACTGAAAGGAAGTGAGCACTCAGTGTGCACTTCCTGTCAGTCCGGCCGGGAACAGGAAACTGAATCTTCTGTACCGTGCGGACTGACAGGAGGAAGAGGAGCTCGGCCACGCTACAGGGAAGGGGAAGTGACGAGAGAGGAGTGCTGCAGTCGCCTGAGGCTCTTTACAGAACGCTCAGGTGGCTGCAGCCTTATAGGAAGCACCGGCTCTGCTCGTGGCCCCGGGCCAGCTCGTGTGACTGTCTGTGTGTGTGTGTGAGACTGTCTGTGTGACTGCCTCCCTGTGTGTGTGACTGTCTGTGTGTGTGTAACTTTCTGCCTGTGTGTGACTGTTTGTCTGACTGTAACTGTGTGTGTCGCTGTAGCTGTGCCGTTGTGTGTGCCTGTGCGTGTGACTATCTGCATTTAGCGGAGTGTGTATGACTGTCTGCTTGTAATGGAGTATGTGTGACTGTCTGCTTGTGACTGTGTGTGTGTGACTGTGTGCCTTTAACTGTGTGTTTGGCTCTGTGATTGTCTGCCTGTAACTGAGCATATGTGACGGTCTGCCTGTAACTGTGTGTTTGTGTGTGTGACTGACTGCTTGTAACGGTTTGTGTGACTGTTTGCCTGTGTGTGTGACTGTATACAGGCAACTTGGTGAGGGGTAGTGGGGGGGAGAGGGTGCCGAAGACTTTTCACACAGGGTGCCTAATGGCCTAAGGCCGGTCCTGTATATGTGATATGTATCTGCTGGCTCTATGTACTGTGTGTGGTGTGTGTACTGGCTGCATGTAATGAGTTTGCACTGAGTGATGGCTGCATGTGATGTGTGTATAGTGTGTGCTGGTTGTTTTGGTGAAGAAGAAAAACTTTACTTTAAATGTAACTTACAATACCGATAATAAAAAGCAAAGATTTATAAAATAAAAAGTAACTATATTCAATGAAATAAAGACATTACAACATATGTAGGGTAATGTAAGAGTTGGAATGCAAAAATCAACAGCACGACCATCATATATTAAACAAGTTAATGCTTAAAGTCAGTGGCAGCATGGTGATATTTACATACCTTCAGAATACCTTCAAACGTTTTCCTGGAGTGTATCAAGACTTCATCAATGGTCGTCCACTGAGAGTAACTTCCTATTAACACACAAATAGACTAGTCATGTGCAGCCTGGTATTATGGGACATGTGGTTTTCCTGTGCAAATCAGCTGATTGAAACACAACTCAGTCTTGAGAATAATATAAGTAATACCACTATCTAACGCAAGAGGGTGCTGTTAGATAGCTGATTTCAGGATAATTTTTAGAAACAGTTTGACTACAGATATGTTCACATTTACATTCGACTTCGCAAAGCAAAATGTTTAGTCTTTTGTTTCAAACACAATCTTTTTATTTAATTTTATTTTGAAGATACTATTTTGACAAATTAAATTCTGTGAACAAATATACATCTTCTTCACTGCTACTATATTAGTTTTATATGTCCCTTATGTGGTATCCTTATGTGGCATAGCCTAAAACCAAGCCAGATTCAGGAACCAATGCCCATGTGAGGAAGTTGTTTAATAGATAGCTATCATATCTAACATCAATCAAACTGGTTTATTGATTTGATATCACAGCCATGGGCGTCCGCAGGAATTTTTCCTAAGGGGGGCATAACTGTAATGACATCCATGCTTGGTACCTTTTTGACAGTGTCATGAAAGGGAAGGGGCATAGCCATTATCACATAAAGCCAGGGTGAATAGCGTTTTAACAACTATGGTGTCAGGAATATATGTTTGTATTCCTGACACTATAGTGTTCCTTTAAGCAAATTAAAGGACCATTCTGGTCACCATAACAACTTCACCTAAATGAAAATGCTATGATGCCAGGAAGCCCCTGAGTGCTCTCTTTCCTTTAAGGGGTTAAACTGCTCTCAAATGGTTTAACCCCAAAGGCTTCCTCCAGCTCCAGGTCGCTCAGTGGTATTTGGCTTCTGAAAGAGTGTCAGGAAGTGCAGATTGACGTCAGGCATGGGTGCCGCTGATTGGCTAGAGTGGTCAGTTGACGCTCTAAGCCAATCGCTAGTTCCCGGTTCATAAAATATTTTTACTTTTTATGAATGGGGAGCTACTGATTGGCTTAGAGTGCCAGCTGACCGCTCTAGCCAATCAGCAACACCCCTACCCAACGGCACTCTGTGCTTCCTGACACTCAGTAAATAAAATTGAACACATTAACACCGATATTTTTTTACCTTTGGAGATGAGAAGGTCCAGCGTTTCCCTGCCAGGCCCAGGTACCAAAGCCTTATGATGTGGTGTCCAGAATAAAGTGGAGGGTTCACTTCATTTGTCCTTCCTGCTCCAATCTCCTTTTCCTCTCCTTCATTTGACAGTCTTTTTTTTTCTTCTGACACTGTTTTCTATCCTTGGCCCCTTCTGCTCTTTTACCTTTCTGATACTTTCTGCTTATTTTGCGCCCTTCTGCTCCTTTCTCATTCTGGTCCCTTTCTGCTCCTTGCAGACCCTTTCTGCTCCCTTTTCTACTTTACCTTTGTGCTCCTTCTGATTCTTTCTGCTCCTTTACCTTTGTGCTCCTTCTGATTCTTTCTGCTCCTTTACCTTTGTGCTCCTTGCTGTCCCTTTGTGTTCCTTCCTGCTCCTTGCAGGCCCTTCCTGCTCATTCTCTTACTTTATGTTTGTGCTCCTTCTTCCCCTTCCAGCTCATTTCTGACCCTTTCTGCTCCTTCTACTTTATCTTTGTGCTGCTTTACCTTCCAGCTCCTTGCTGACCCTTCCTGTTCATTTCTATATATCTATAGGCTGCTGCCCCCCCAAATCTATGGGCTGCTGCCCCCCTCCCCAAATCTATGGGCTGCTGCCCCCAAATCTATGGCTGCTGCCCCCCTCCCCAAATCTATGGGCTGCTGCCCCCAAATCTAAGGCTGCTGCCCCCAAGGCTGCTGCCCCTCTGGGCTGCTGCCTGCTGCCCCAAATCTATGGGCTGCTGCCCCCAAATCTATGGGCTGCTGCCCAAATCTATGGGCTGCTGCCCCCAAATCTAAAGGCTGCTGCCCCCAAATCTATGGGCTGCTGCCCCCCCCCAAATCTATGGGCTGCTGCCCCCAAATCTAAAGGCTGCTGCTGCCCTCAAATCTATGGGCTGCTGCCCCCCAAATCTATGGGCTGCTGCCCCCAAATCTATCTGCTGCTGCCCCCCTCTCAAACCCTCCCACCAGCCCTCACTTACCTGACCTGTAGGCTGTCTCTGGTGCATGTGTTGTTCCCCTGCGGTTTCAATCAGCAGAGATAAGATGCAGCTTCCTATCCATGTCTCTCTCCATACACGCCGGTATTGCAGTTCATTTTCAATCACACGCAAAATAGCAGAACAAGCTGAAAAATCCAGGGGGGGGGGGGCACTTGCCCCCCCTTGCGCCCCCCTGCGGACGCTCATGATCACAGCATTGATAGTATAGGTAGGTACCGGTCTATGGCATTGGCATATGGCAATCCCAAATAAAGATATTTAAAGGGACACTATAGGTATCCAGGCCACTTCACTCATTGTAGTGGTCTGGATGCAGTGTCCCATCACCCTTACCCTGAGCATGTAATTATTGCAGTTTTTAATAATGCCGCGCTTGCACATTGGGTCTCCCCCAACCACTGACATCGGCAGGGTAGGAGTTAAGGCGGACCGGAGCCAGCACCGAGGGACCCAGGTAAGTGACAGAAGGGGTTTTTAACCTCTTCTGCACCACAGGGGGAGGTTGTTGTGTGGGGGCCTTGATGGAGGGGGAAGCTGTCATGCCAAGAAAAGGAGTTTGTTTTCCTGGCACTATAGTTCCCTTTCATAATTAATTGCTGAAACATCAAACAAGATAACTGTGTCAGCTGAAAGATTACAACTAGGAAGAATGATTTGCTTATTTCTGGTCTTTTAGTTTCTGTTGTGCGCAGATAGCTCCCTAATTTGGTAGGTACCTTTATATGGGATTGCCATATTGAAGGGTAATTAGTGAGGGAGCATTTTACGATAGACCTTCTTAATATGGAACCCTTAAGTGGAATAGCCAATATTAAAGGATAACAAATTAGGGAGCTATCTACTAAACATTTCCCTTTGGTATCCTAAATGGCAATCAAACATAAGGGTACCAAATTAGGGAGCTGTTTAGCAGCAGGTAGATTTTCCCAAATGACTTTTGTAATTAATGATAAGAATATTTGATAAATACACTAACACAAGCACTATAACCATGTTGCATTCCGTTCCAAAACACTTCCTGAAAAAGAGACCTAATGTTTAAATCTTCCATTATGGCAAATTCGGTTTAATATAGAATTTCTTATCTTCTGTTTTGTTAAAAGTCTTCGAGACCCTGCAGGAGCCTCCTCTGTGTGATTAAAATTTAGTTTAACAAAGCAAGAAATATAAATGTATAAAGCACATTAACATCCATTGAATATTAAAGGAACACTTATAGTCACCTAAATTACTTTAGCTAAATAAAGCAGTTTTAGTGTATAGATCATTCCCCTGCAATTTCACTGCTCAATTCACTGTCATTAAGGAGTTAAATCACTTCACTGTTTTATTCCCAACTCCATTTTCTCTGTGAATATTATTATTTGTACCTATGAAGCAACATGCTAGATATGCAATGATCTCCTATGAGACTGTGATAAGATATGTTTATTATCCAACTTGTATAAGGTGTATACTTCCTATTGCGGCACATAATACCTTTTTATACAATATAATTTTCTTTGTCCGTGTGATAACCTGCATAATTGTATGGTAAATGTGAAGGTCCCATTGCAAAAGTGATTGTAGTAATCCATTATATAAAAAATAAGTAGAGTGTAAATATAAGTGTATTATGCTGGATAAAGATCTTTGCATAAAGTATATCGATATAGGTGACTTCTAATATCCCGTCATGGAAGGTTATATAGTTACGATCTGATTAAACCTATTTAGAATTCTGGAGTAAGAATACACAGAGTTTTAAATAAAGTTTATTGATTGAATATCAGTCTAGGTAAAAACTAAATGTAACAATAGGCGATGTTAGAAAGAGTCAAATAATGTAACTTTAATGTACTGATACATGATTTATTTTCGGTCACGATGATGCCGAAACGGAGCATAGAGATGCCAGCTGAACTGCACGCCGAAACGCATAAACCGGAAGTGATGAAATCAACATATGAACAAGGAAGCAACTGGAGAGTCTTGAAACGCAGGGCGTCACCGTTACCATGGTGATAGCTTGCGAAAATTTAAAGCCTGAAATCAATTACTGACCCCTGAGAGGGGTATATATATAGCAGGAATTAGCCCAATGAGGCTCTACAAAGACTTTTTCATCCAGCTGAGGAAGCCTATACAGCGAAACGCGTCCTGGAGAAACTGTGAGACAAAGACTCAGAATACTGGACTTATTTGCCAATATAGTGTTGTTGTTTTTTTTAATATATTTTTTATATATATTTTTATATAGCTTTATAATAAAGTATACATATTTTTACAACTTTAATAATCACTATTGGCATTTTTCCTGCTATATCTTGAAAGAAGGAGTATGGTCCTTAACCACATACGCCACTACATTTGAGCCTATTTGGAAGGCTCCGGGTTGGTAAGTACCCCATTTACTTTACCACCTTTATAAAATAAGATCTACATTATTGCACCATATGCGCTCTTTTCCATCTGCCATACAGGATAAAGAAGCAAAGTACACCACCTAAAGAAGGTAGAGGGTTGCCTCTACGGACCCTAAGAGCGCACTAACTGAGCTTAATCGTTTAGCTCTTGAAATTGTGAGTGGGGTAGTTACCTTTTTTCTACAATATATTTTATGGTTTGCACTATGAAATAGTTTCTGTATTTTTGTTTTTAAGGAACTACAAACAGACCTCAATATGGTATAAAAAGCTTAAGGTGTACTGAAAATACCATACCTTCAACAACAACAAAAAAATCACCGTTATTTTATTATAAGCGCTTCATCATCACTCTGGTTTACAATCTCTATTTCTATAAGATACATTTCTGGTGATATAGCAGCTGTTTGGAAATTGTATTTCACTAGTTCGTGATATTGTACATCTCTTCAATATTAGCGATGGTACTGCTTTTATCATCAAAGTAACAA